GGTCCCCTCCCAAAGGCTTGGAGTACTCTTATTGCTTACCAGGAGAGGGGAGGAGCGAATGGGAAGAGGAGCAGGGATAACACGGGTTTGGCAGGGGGTCGAGGTTTCTGAGCGTCTTCAAGGACCGACCACAACGTTGTTTAGCTTGAGTTGGGCCGTTGTCGTGATTCTCGTGCCGTTGTTTGTTTTGTTTGGTGTTCGTTTTTGGTTTAACGCTTCGTTTTGTTTGTTAGTCTCGAGTGGCACCGAAGTCGTTCCCAACGTTCGCTTTAAACGCTGGGTTTCGTCTCGTTTTTTGCCCTAGACGGCATTTCGTTCTAGACGTCGTCATGTGTTGCTTGTGCTGTCTTTGCCTCTGGATGTCTCCGGGGGACCTCTGCGCGTCTGGCCTCCAGGGCTTCCCCTCGTCGCCACGGCGTGAGACTGGGCGTGGCTCGGAACACGGATCGAGGTGTTTTTTTTTTTATTTGAGAGGGGGCGAGAGATCGGTGGCGAGCAGAGGGCCTCCACGGGAGGAGAGGAGGGGTGCAGGTGCGGAGGGGTTGCAGGTGAGGAGGGGAGGAGGGGAGGAGGGGCAAGGGGATGATTCCTGAAGTCTCCCGGGGGGGTCCCAGATGTTTCTCGGGATCTTTGGTGAGTGGGGGACGAGGGGGCGATGCGTGGACGGAGGAGGCAGGAGTGAAGCGGATGGGACCAGGCTTCCTGTCCCACCAGCGTCGCTTCCTATGCCACTCCCCCGCCCCATCTCTCTTCCCCTGGGTCCCTCCTCGCCTGTCATCCGTATGCTCCACCTTCACGCATGCCCAATCGATGCCTCCCCCTCCTCCTGCTCCTCTTCCCCCTCCCGTCCCCTCGCCCTGGCCTTCTCCTCCTCCCTCCCCTCCGCCTCGCCTGGCCCGCTCCCTCCCCCTCCCCCCTTTCCCGAATCCCCTGGCCCCCCCCTACCTCCCCCAGTTACTCCGCATACGAGCTGCATTCTACATACTGTACGCCAGCTCGTGCATGTGCCCAGCAATGGTGACTCGCCGTCCTCCCCTCCCGGGGATGATTTCAATTCTGTCGGGTTAAACGCCAAGGGTTCGGATCAGGCGAAGTGCCGTTTCCACGATTGCTCTGAGACGTACTCAACGGGCGTCGCGGTCGACGGGCAGCCAAGCCCCACAAGCAGTTGAAGCGTGAGCCGCCTCGTGGCGGCGCTCGCTATAGTATTCCTCCACCTGGGGTGTCGCATTCGGTGCTCGTAGGCACCGCACCCGGAGTGCAACGCTTGCTGGGCAGGGAGCTGCGTCCTGAGGGGGCGTGGCACCTTCCTGGCCGCACGAGCCTTTTGAGAGCGGTGGCGCCCGTGCAGCTGCAGCCCCGAAGGGGCAATGGTTTGCTGGGGCGGTGCTCCTATTCGTTCGGGTTGAGGAGCGAGCCCAGCTGGAGGGTCGTCCTTCCTTATGGGCTGCCCGTCGCGATCTTCCTCCTGAACACACCTCTGAACCTTTTGTTTCCCCCTTCGAACGCCCGCCCCGAACCGGCTGCAGCTGGGCACTCGACTGGCCATGTAGCCCCCACGAGGCTCTCGCAGGCCACCCACTGCGGCACTGCCGGGGCTGGAGTCTCTCAGTGTGAACAGCGTTGCTTCGTTCCAAGGCTCTTGCCCCCTTTCACTTTCGTTCCTCTTCTCCACCTCCCCTCCCTTTTCCTCCCCCTCTGGCCAAGGTAAGGCAACCAAGCTGGACTACGAAAGCATTATGATGCACATATTTTGCCCGTGTCTGGCTGACGGTTCGTCCTTCGCGGGGCTCGTCTGAGCCAAGCTGATTGTTGACCTTGCGCAGGCAAATGTCTGGAAGTGCTGCTCCCACATGTGCCAGCAGCTACACCCATACCGTATGCTTCGCCGAGGCCTCCAGCCTTCGGTGGCACAGTCACGACATGCAAACATGGACCACCGTGGGCTCGGGAGGGGCTGCGGTCTTTGGGGGGCCGGCTCCCGAGACATCGGTCGGGGCGCCTGCCCGAAGCCGAGGCCCGCGTGGCCATGCAGGGCCCCCCTTTTCGTTCCTTCTCTGGCGTTCCCTCCGGCCGGGCGCCGGCTGCACCCCTCCCGCCTCGGGGGCGGCCAAGAGAGGGAGCGTGGTGACGAGGGGGGGGGGGGGGGCTGGAGACCATGGCGGGGCGGCCACGAGGGAGTGTGGTGACTGGGGGGGGGGCTGGAGACCCTGGCGGGGGCCATGCTATCTCCCCAGATGTCCTGACGCCCCTTCTTGTTTCGATGCGTCCCCGGCCCCCCCCTAAGGCCCTTGGGCCGCGCACGTGGACCGAACGAAAGGGGGGGATAGGGAGAGGGGGGGTACGAAATCTGCTGCATGCAGCTGGCTTCGGCCCCGCCGCCGGGCCCAGCCCTCCATCATACATGGGCGCCTCCCGGCGCCGGGAGGCGCCAGGAAAATCAGCTACGTGAGCTGATTCTCAAACCCCCCCTTTGCTATCCCCCCTTTCGCCCGGCCGCGCACATTCCGCCGGCCACGAGTTGCACCCCCCCCCTCGTGTGGACCCCCCCCCCCTCTCGGGGCCAGCCCCGACCTCCCCCGCGCGCGCGCGACCCCTCGCGGCTCGAGCCCGCCCTTGGCCCGCCCGCCCGAGCGGCTTGGGGGGGACGTCCGCCCGCCCACCTCGCGCCGACCCCCCGGCCCGGGGGCCTGTGCGTCGCCTGGGCCCGCCCAGGCCCCCTCGCGCGGCGCAGCAAATCACGTCGGGAGGTTTTTCGCTATTTCTGGCCTCCTCCTCGCTATTTTCGGCCTCCTCCCCCTCCTCCTCCCCCCCTCCTCCTGTGAACAAATAGCACGACGGGAGGTGTTTCGCCATTGTCGGCCTCTGGGGGCCCTTCCCAGGCCTCGGGACCGTCCAAGAACGACCCAGGGTGAAGAGCTGGTCCTGGGGAAGGGGTGCAGACCTCTGGGGGCCGACGCTGTGAAACAGAGTCACGGCGTCGGGGGTCCCTGGACCTCTGGACCTCTGGACCCGTGCTTACTCTGGACGTTGTGCAGACCTCTGGGCTCGTGCTTGCTGAGGAACGCCTCCCCGGCCATGGCCTGAGGCCAGGCGCAGGCCAACGAGAAGCCTCACAGTCCTTGGCCGCTTTCCCTGGCCGCGCCCCGCTCGCGCAGAGTTTCGGCGTGGCCGTCCAAGGTCCTTGCATCCCGATCGTGCGTCCGCCTTATGCGGGCTGACTGCAAAGCCTCCACGGCCATGGACGGGGAGAGGCGCCTTCCCTCGCTTTCCTCTTTTTCGGCCTAGCCTGGGAGGCCCTCGGCGCCACCGCTGGATTCGCCTCGATACTCTAGTCAGGATGCACCCTGGGAGAGGTCCAGGGAGCAGCGGTACCAGCATCGTCGGGATGCCCCCAGATCCGTCAGAGGGGCCCAAGCCAGGGTCGGTGCAGGTGGGCAGGTGACCGTTCCCCGACGGGTGGGGCGTGGGGTCGGCGGCGGCGGCGGCGCGCGCTGGCAGGGGCCAGCGCCGAGTGGCCGCCGTGCCCCGGCGGCGGCGCGTGGGGCGCCGCCGCCGCCGGGGCACGGCGGCGAGGGCGGCGCGAGCTGCGGCGCGGCTGCGGCGGCGGCGGCGGGCGGCGGGGGCGGCGGGCGGCGGCGGGTTGACAGGGCGCGCGGGCTGCGGGAGCGCCGGGGCCTCGCCGCGGAGGCGGCGGCAGGGGCCGGCAGCCCCAGGAGTGAGGGGGGGTGGTCACTGCGCGCACTCGTTCCGAGGGGCCTAAGTCAAGCAGTGGCGAAGCGTCTTGGCGTGCCTACAGGCCTACCAAACAATGTTCTAAGAACCTTTTGTGGTTTCCACGAAATTGTTTTCGAACATTTCTGGCTGGGATATTTTATTTGAACACACCAGTTCTATGTTCTAAGAACTTTGTTTTGGTTCTAAGAACATTTGGGGGTTCTAAGAACATGTCGTGGTGGGCCTATAGGAATGCCGGGACGGTCGGTCCCTGCTCAGCTAAGAGAGAAGAGTGGCCTGAAGCCGGCGGGAGTAGAAGCGAAGCCTCCGTCGGGCTCAAGAGACGAGGGCCAAGGCAAGCGGGCGTCAGCCAGAGCGCCGGATCTTGCAGGATCGGGCGCGTGGGCCCAGGCAAGCGTGCAGGAGCTGCTTGCAGGGCCCTGGATCCTGCAGGAGCTTGCAAAGCATGGCTGGCGCCCAGGACTGGATGGACCCAGGTCAGTATGACCCCCGAACGCCGCACCTTTGGTGCCATGGCCTCTGGAGTCGGCCACGCGGGGCGATCGGGGGGCCCCTGCGATCGGCTGCAGCGCGGGGGTGGCCCTTTGCCGGGGTGGCCTCTGGCGCGCGGCCCTCTTGGGGGAGGCGGGGCGCAGGGGGGGGGCGGCAAGCCCTTCAGGCACCCGCGGGCGGGCCGCTGCGCATTGCGCGCAGCGATCGGCAGGCCGCGCGCGCGAGGCCACGCCCAGCCCGAGGGCCGCTGCCCGCGCGCGGCCGGCCGCGTGCACGGCCCCCCCCCTGCCCTGCGCGGGTGCTCGCCGGCCCCTGCGGCAGGCGCCCCCGAGAGGCGGCGGCATGCGGACGCCGGGGCGGGCCCTGACCCCTGGGGCGGGGGGGCCAAGCCCACGAGCGGCAGGGGGGCAGATGGGGGAGGGGGGGAGCAGGAGGGGGGAGGGGTGTATAGGGAGGGGGGGGGCGCCGGGGAGGAAGAGGCGGAGCGGGAGGAGGGGGGGGGGGAAGAGGAGGAGTGAGGATGGCGAGGGGAGTGGATCTCGGAGCATGTCCCAGCCCACGGGTGCAGTGCGCCAAGGCGTGCCAGCGCCCTGGCTTCTGAGGAGTCCCCGTGGGAGGCCCCCCCCCCGCGGCACCATCCCGAGCCCGAGCCGCGCCCAGCCGTGGGCCGGGAGGGTTGGAACGAGGATGGGGAGAAGGGGAACGAAGACTTCAGTCGGGCCTGTCATGTTCCACAGTAGTCAAAAAATAGTCGGGGTACAATTTGTTTGGGTATATGTTGTACTATGTTTGAATGGGGTCTTTGTATTTGTCGCCAAAATCCCTTTGTAGGGGGACATGCCCGACCTAAACGAAGACCAACAGCAGTTCGTTGGAGTGCTCGTTGTCGGCGCCGCCACGGGCGGTGCCACCTTTGCAGGCAAAAGGTCGCCCGCCCAGCCGCAGCCGCCGTCGGATTTGGACACACATCGCCGGTGGGCGCCGTCCCCATGTTGTATGCAGTCCCTCTTCCGGGCGTGCCACGTGGCGACGAGGGGGGGCCCCGAAGGCCCCGAAACTGTCAGAACACCTCGGGCAACGTGGCCCTCCAGGTCCCGACGTCGGACGACATCCTCGACGCCGTGATCGCGGGATCCACCCACAACTTCGGGCCCTCGGCCCTCGACTTCGGCCCGAACTACGACCCCGTCGCCGAGGCCAGGGACCGCGCGCCGGTGGTGGTCGACCCGGACGCTGGGAGAGGAAACCGCCCGTGGCGGCAGGCGGGTGAGATGGGGGACGGGGAGAGGGGGAGGGAGAAGTCAGGCGACCGTGCACATGGATGAAGGGGGCGTGGATTGGCGACGGGTCCCGTTTCCATGGGAAATCGCGGATTTCCGCCGCTGCACGAGGCGGCACCGGCCGCATTTGGGGGAGGGGGAGGGCACATCCCCCGATCCATGGATTTGTCGCTAATCCATTTTTGCGCGCCCCCGAAGAATGAGTATGAGCAGGAGGGGGGCGGAGGAGGAGGAGGAGGAGGAGGAGGAGGAGGAGGAGGCGGAGGTCCGTACCCCTTGTGGCTCAAGTGGAAAATTCGGGGCCCTTTCGGTTTCAGCTTGAACGCAGGCGAGGGGTTGGCTCGAAGTCTCCGCAGGCCACGAGACTCAGGGAAGCTACCCAGCGCCGTGAGCCTCTTTCTCCCGCGCCAGAGCTTTCGGGTGCAAGCTGTCAGCGTAGCTCAGCGACGCTATGTCGCACGGCATCCCCTCATCCCCGACCGAGGCTGCTGCGCTGGCCGCCGCCATCGACGAGGCTTCCCACCTTCCCGTCTTCATCCCCGCGTTCCCCTCATCGCCCTGCTGCTCCTGAGCGCAACCGCATCAGCACAGGTGGGAATGATGACGACTTCCTCTCGTCTTCTGGTGGCGCCGCCTCGACAGACATCAAGGCCTACGTCGACGCCACCCGCACCTCCCAGATGCAGGCCATCGAGCTCGCCAAGTCCGAGATGGCCTCCAGCGTCCAGCGGTCCGTCGGCTGGCTGGCCAGCACCATGCAGTTCTCTTGCACCGCCTTCGGCACCCCGGTCGAGCGCCGCAGGGCCAGCGCCGAGCCCCAGGCCGCCGCCCACGCCGCGAAGGTCAAGGAGAGGTTGACGGCAAGGCTGCCGAACTACAGCGCGTGTTTGGGGCTGCTCGCTCGGAAGACCCCCCGCCGCCCATCGTGGCCGACGGTGCCCAGCTGGACCGTGCTCCTGACCCTGCAGCCCTGGTTGCTCGCACGCGCTCGCGCACCACGATGGGGGCCTTCCAAGGCGCCATCAACCCCACCCTGGAAAAGAGCAACATGTCGATCGACGGGGTTCAGGAGGGAAAAAAACACGCACAGACACAATTACTCGGGGGTGGACAGGCCTCCTACCCTGACACGTCGATTAAGGAATTGGCCGTTTTCGGTTCGCGAGAGGGCGTCGCGGCCGTCATTTTTGCGGGTCCACGTCCGCGGGTTTCGGTCCGAGGCCGTTCTCACTAAGGGGAGGTGTACTAAAGGGAGGTTTGTCCACCGCTGAATTAATCGTCGATTCTCCGAAAAACATGGGAAATATGGGAGGTGGGGGGGGAGACAACACCCAGAAAATATGCGAACATATAGGAAATTCTGTGATTTGTGTGTATTTAGTTGTGTGTCCCAGGGCCCCTTCAGGGGTCTTGTTCAAAGGCCCTCCTGCTGCTCAGCGTATCCAGGATCGTGTTCGAGGCGCCCCCCAGTGTGCTCACCGTCAGGTCTCTTAACTGTTCGGCTCTCTCTTCGTCAAGCAGATGGCTCGTGGGCTCGTCATTCCCCCGCGTATCCATCGGCACCTCTGTCGATCTCTTCGTTGACCCAGACGAGTCACCGTGCCAGATCAAGAGGGAGCAGCTGGCCAAGGCTATCAGGCAGGCGTGTGCTGACTCGTACATGGCCAAGCGCCTCTACGGAGACAAGATCAAGGGTACCATCAGCGTCGGCTGGAAGCCGATCTTGTCCGTCTGACCCAAAACCTGGCGACGCCTCGCCGACCGTCTACCATTTGGCCGCCGCGAACCTCATTGCCGACGGTCTCGGCCGCCAGTTCATCGCGAGTGCCACTGCCGGTATCGTGGACGGACCCGAGCCTGTGCAGTGGCCCTAACACGTGATTCGAGGCATGGTGTCGTCAGCATCCTTCTCATGCTCCTCTCCTGTTCGGGTCCTGGAAAGTGCGTGCGTCATTCCATCGTTCTCCTCGGCTCGGGGACCGCAAGTTTTCCAGTACCTTCGAAAACTCCTAAGGCGCGGGAGCCTTGCCGGCATCCTGGGGACCCGCGGGTCCATCGAGAACATCGAGGGGATGACCTACCTTCCCACGTTCCTGTCCATGCTCGTGCCTCACTCTTTCCTCATGCTCTACATGCCACCGGCTGTGCAGTCGCTCTTTTCCGAAGTCTCCGGCTGCGGCTGGGCGGGCAGCACCTGAGATTGAGGCTCAAGAGCTGGTCCAGGGAAGAGCGCTGAATGTTCGCATCAATTGTTTCGATAGCACCTCCGTCTCCCGCTACAACATACACAATTGTGCCCCCCCCGTCACAGGCGACTACATCATGTATGCGATCTCCCAGAACCTCAATTTAGCTCCAAAGGACCCCTTATGAAGTTTCTCGTGATCGTAGGCGGCGACTCCACTGTTGCCGATGCCCCTCCTACCGCAGCTACTCGGGACACCCCAATCAAGCATGCCCACAAATGTGACTGGCGCCGTTGTCGGGGCCGTTCCTGGACCGGAGCCCACAGACTCCCATGCTGCGCTAAGGGCGCCGAGCGACATCGATAGCCTGTTTGTCTCGCTCCCTGGTTGAGCAGTGGCTCAGTCTTCCACAGGAGCTCGGATTCATGGCCCACCCGAGATGCTCCACAAAGCCAGCATCTCGGACCACGCTGCGACATCATGCATTCTTGCGCCACGGAGGCCCAAGAAGCCACGGGAACGCGCCATCACATCAGACATCATCGGCCTCCCCGAGTTCGCCAGGAATGTTTCAGAGATCCTGGAGCAGGTGGGCATGTCCGATCGATCTGCCCCGCTCAAGCTCTCCCTCCACAAAGACATCATGGCCGCAGCCGCCCGTGTCACCCGAGTTTTTTTTTTGTTCCGTTGAAAGCCGCCAGACCCCCTCACCATCCGCATCATCTTCCGCTCTATCTCTAGGGCCGTCTGGCAGCAGAATGTCCACCTTGCTCAGAAGATCCAGCGCTCGCACTGTCTGAGCGCGCAATACATGGCGATCGTCATCCCTATTGGCACGGCTCCTTTCCTCGACCCCGGTGGCTTCCACGCTGCCCTGGACAAAGCCCACCAGCGGCTGTTTCAGGGCAGCGCCAGGTCGGCCCCCGCCAAGCTGCAGGAGGTTGCGCGCCAGATTTCGAGGTCCAAGCTTCGCTGGCATCTCAGAGGTCTTCAGAAGCGCGGGCGTCTGTGGGCTCCGTTCGACTGGAAGCCCCGCATCCGACTTGCCAGCCCCTCAGCAGACCCAGAAACTGACCGCGCGGCCATCGCTCGCTCCTCGGAAATGCTCGATCAGTTGGCGAGGCACCAGGGGCCCGTCTTCGGCGAGCAGGCGACCGATCAGGTTGCCGCCAAGAGCTATCTGGACAGATTCGGCTTCGACGCGAGCCTCCGCGACTTACCCAAATCCACGATCACCGACGTCAAGACATGTTTGCAGCGTCTGAACACCGTTGCCCCAGGGCCCGACCAACCTCCGCGAGACGCCTGGAAAGCGCAGCCTCTTGGAGCCGAAATCCTGGAGGAAATCTTGTCCTGGAATTTGGATGGGTAAGTCGCTGCCGTGTGTTCCAAACGTGCAGCAGGGTTTTTTGTTCGCCAAAGGGGGCGAAGCCGACGACGAGATCGGCGCCCCCCGACGCCCCGGCCAGACTCGCCTTTGGCTTCGGGCGCGGACATCAAGAGCCTCGCGGACGCTCGGTTTTGGGCCTTCACCAAGCGGCTTCCTGACATAAAGTGGAAACCCATGCCAAGAAACACCTCGCTTGCCTCCAGGCTGCCCTTGCTTTCTTGGGTCCCGATGGTTTTGCTTTAGAAAGCGTGACGCTCCCGCAACATAGTGAATGGACGTCCTGGGGTCTCAGGGCTGGGTTTCTTGTGGAAGGTCTCTTGTGCTCGAGCTCCCATTGTAACGCACCGGCATCAACAACGAATTCTGGAGAAGATATTTTGGACTCGACGCGATGAGCCGCGTCGCTTGATTGGACGAAGGCGCCGCGCAGCGGCCCCCCGATCGCTGGCCTCCCTTCGACTTCGGGGAGAGGCGTTCCCCGGCATCGGCCGCGCCTGGATCTTCTCGGCCCTTCATGCCCCCCAGATCCCAGACCCAGACCTCCTCGCGTTGTGAAAAATCCCTTGTCGTCCTCCGGGGGACCTTCCCAGGCCTCGGAACCGTCAAAAAACGATTCAGGACGAAAATCCGGTCCTGGGGAAGGAGTCCAGACTTCTGAGGGTCGACGTTGTGGAAAAATCACGACGTCGGGGGTTTGGGGAGCCTCTCAGGTTTCCTCAAGACGAGTTACGATGATGTGCGGCGCATTGGCGGGCGCGGGTCCACGTCCATGGCTTTCTTCCTTATCCTTCCGGGGATGATCCACGGGCGCCCAGCCTCAGGAAGGATTTTCGCTGTGAGTTCCCACCCGTTCATGTGACCTTTCGAAGAACTCATCGCAACCCCCAATCTTGGATTCGCGCGGGCTTGTGCTGACCACGAAGGGAATGCAGTGGAATGGGTTTCCGCTCTGAGACGCCTCCACGCTGCGTTCGAGGTTTTTGACAGAGTCGCCAACCCCCGACTCAAAGCCCACAAGTGTTTCATCGTAACTCGCGCAGGCCTGCTCACTGCTGAGGCCTCCAGAAGTCGTGCGGATTGGATTTCCTCCCACATCCCTGACTGCTCTGAACTCCAGGTTGCCAGCCGCCTTGAACACCTCGGCCTCGTGGGCGGGCATGGGGCAGGGCAGAGACCGTGGGGCGGCCCAGTATTCAACTGGTCTAGCAGGTCTCCCGCTATCGCCCTGGGGCGGCTGTCGGCGCCCCCGCCGCCATAGCCTCCCGCGTGCACGAGAGCCGCGCGTTCTCGGCGTTCTCTCGTGTCAGCCAGGACCAGCGTCTCCCTTTCAAGGAAGCCGATACCTTGGCACAGCGCTTGCCCGAGCCGATGTTCCTCGTGCCGCTTTGCTGTCTGTCCCGGTTCCATCTTGCTGAATGGAGCGGCCTCCGCGTTGGCAGTGCCGTTCTTGCCAACCTTGCCGCTGTAATCCGCGCGGCCATCTCGACTCTGCCCACATGGGCCGACCTGGCCACCTCTCTCGAGATTTGAACGCGCGAGTGTCTCCCGATCATTGATTTCCTGGCCGACCGTCGCTCCCCAAAATTCTGGACGTCTCCCTGTCGCGTTTTGGTTCTTTGGGCCGCTGTGAAGCCTTCTCCGTGCCCCTCAGGGCCGTCGTGGAGTCTCTCGGGCAGATGCCCGCCACGATCAGAAGAGCCGCTTCATTCCATTGCTGGCGCGCCTCATGATGGCACAATGACTGCACCGCCCCCGCCCGCAAAGTGACTGAGGCTTTTGCGACGAACGTGCGCGGCGTTGACGGCGAGGGCGACACTCCTTGAGAACGGGCGCACCGATCTGCGCAGCAGTTCCTGAACGTTCCTGAACACTTCCCAAAGATCCAATGTCGTGTTTTTTTCAATACGGGGCCCCCGGAAGTCTCGACCCATTCCCCGGGATCGGTTTTCCATCCTGAGCCGTTTTTTGACGGTCCTGGGCCCGGCGAGGGCCCCCAGAGGCCGAAAATTGCGAAAACAATCCGTGCTGATTTTTCAATACGTTGGATCTCTGGGTAACAAAGTTCCAGAGCGTCCTTGAGCACTCTCGGAGCGTTCCGGAGCGCTCCGTCTTCTCGGGCGCCCCGAGGCGGGCCCTGGCCGGGGCCCCTGAGGTCCGACGTCGTGATTTTTTCAATGCAGGGCCCCCAGAAGCCGGGGGCCCCCAAACGGGGTGGTGACCACACCGTGTGGTGAGTCGGTGGGGATGCGGGGTCACCGCACGGTTTCGGGACTCGGGTCGTTCTCCGAGGATGTCTCGGGCGACTGCAGCCTCCGAGGTCCCGAAAACGAGCGCTGACGGACCGTGCGGCGAGGTCTTGGGGGATTTCGAGGTCACCGCACGGTCTGTCACCGCACCGTTTCGGGACTCCACATGAAATCTCGACCCATTCCCCGGGACCGGTTTTCATCCTGAGATATTTGACAGTTCTGGGGCCTAACGAGGGCCCCCAGAGGCCGAAAATTGCGAAAGCCCTCCGTCTTGACTTTGTCAATGCATTGGATCGCTGGGTGAAAGTTCCAGAGCGTCCTTGAGCACTCTCAGTGCGTTCGGGAGCGCCGCCGTCTTCACGGACGCCTCGAGGCGGGCTCTCTGGCCGGCTGCGCCTCTCTACCCCGCCCCCTCCCCTCAGAGGCGACGACAGGGGCGAAAAGCCCAGGGGATAGCAACACATGTATTCGGGTGCGCCGATGATCTGTGTTTTCGAACAGGCTCCCGGGCGAATGCGCGCCATGCCCGCCCCTGGAGGCTACTCGCCCGTATCGTCGCCGCCGATCCCCGCCCGGCGAGGACAACCCCTGGGGCGCGTGGAGGGGCCCGGGGGCGCCCCGCGGCGGGGCGGCGCCGCGCCGGGAGCCCGAGAGGCCACCGGGCGGGGGTGGGGACCCATGTACCTCCTCGCGTCCTCCTCCTCCTCCTCCTCCTCCTCCTCCTCCTCCTCCTCCTGCTCCTCCTCCTCCTCCTCCTCCTCCTCCTCCTCCTCCTCCTCTTCTTCCTCGTCCTCCTCCTCCTCCTCCTCCTCCTCATCCTCCTCCTCCTCCTCCTGCTCCTCCCCCCCTCCCCCTCTCCTCCTCCTGTGGAAAGATCACGACGGGAGGTTTTTTTAAACCATTTTCGGCCTTTGGGGGCCCTCCCCGGGCCTCGGGACGGTCAAGAACCGACTCAGGATGAAAGACTGGTCCTTGGGAAGAGGTCCAGACCTCTGGGGGTCGACGTTGCGAAAAAATCACGACGTCGGGGGTCTGGGGAGTTAGGAACGAAAGAAGGACGTACAGTCGGCCCCGATGAGTAGCTCGGCCCTGCCAAATCAAGGGTACTCCCTGTGTCCCGTGCCTCGCGGCCCATGCCTCCCACATTCTTCTTGCAGCGTGGCGCTCGGAAGGGTCTCGCGTCCTCTCGCGTGACCTGTCCCATCGAGTCCGACTCGTACACGTACAGGAGTCCTCGTTGGCTTCGAAACGGGTCCAAATCCCTCACTAATCGTCCCCCGGGTGCAGTTTTTTAAGGCGCCTCTTTTGTAACTGAGGGGGTCTGGTTTATTAGGGCGCTTTGGATTCGAGCTTAGGGGGTCCGGTTTATCAAGGCGCCCCGTCGAAGAGGGGGGTCCGGAATATTAGGTCGCATTTGGAGGGGGTCGATGAATAAGAGAGTTGGAGTGCGCGTTGCGCGAGCGTGCGTGGCACGAGGCGGTCCTCGCGGGCTGGCGGGGCCGTATTCCTGTGCGTGGCGGGGCGCGTGCGTCCTCTGTGGGCTCCCAGGGGCGGGCGGGCCCGCCGCTCGCGGCCAGCCTCGGGGGTGGAGGGGGGGAGAGCACGGGAGGGAGAGGAGAGGAGAGGGAAGGGACAGGGGGGGGGGGAGGGAGGGAAGGGGGAGGGGGAGGGGAGGAGGAAGGGGAGGAAGGGGGCGGGGAAGTGGGAGGAAGGGGAAGAAGGAGGAGGAGGAGGAGGAGGAGGGAGGAGGAGGGGGGAGGAGGGGGAGGAGGAGAGGAGGAAGAGGAGGAGGAGGAAGAGGAGGAGGACCAGAGTAAACCAAACATGCATCAACGATATTGCAATCCACATTCTGTCCTAGGTCCCTGTCATCCTAAGTCCCTGAAGGTATTGCTTCCCACTGTGGGAGACGCCTCCCCTTGACAGACGACCCCCCCCACCTTGGCCTGCCATTCAGGCCAGGCCCCGTGCTGCACCAGCAGTAAGAAACGCAGAGGGCAAGACCATTGATTTCAAACATTGTCCAGCGAGAGCTCCGCTTTGAAAAGGATGTGCCTTGCATTGAAAGCGCTGCGCACATACACAGGTATTGGGTCAAGCTTCGAAGCATTACATGCGAGAGCCATGTTTTAAAAAGGGTCCTCCCTCCATTCATGAAACGGTCTTCCATGTTTTAGGTTGCGAGTTATTCGTAACCGGGATTGAAAAACAGCCGCCCTCCATCAGCTTGTTTGTTCGTCGTGTTTACAACGAGCGTGCGCTGCGCCAGGACGAGAACCTCCTTCTGAAAACGAACCCGCCTCCATGAGCTTCTTAGCTCCAGGAGACTGAAACACAAGAACGTCCGAGGTGAAACGCCGGGCCCTGCTTCCGGACGCGTCTGGCGGTGCGGGAAGGGGAAGGCATTTGCTCATGAGGCAAAGGGATGGAGGCAGAGGAGGCTGTGAAAGAAGAACGGAAGGTGGAGGCGGCGGTGGGGCGGTTTTTGACCGTGCGCTCGGCCATCAAGAGCTCAGGGACAGGGCGGGCAGACTGGCGACGTGTCCCGCATAAGCAGAGCATGGAACGGGTTGGGCCCTATCACAGGTCCTAGCGAACTTTTGGGGCCTTGGGAGCGACCTTCGAAGAAGGAAGAGATACATGAGCACATCTGGCGGCGCCTCTGGCGCAGCCATGTTTGCGCTCCAGACGTCCGCGCGGACCTCCGACAGTAGATGTCTTTTTCTTCTTCTGGGCAGGGCGGTTGGTGTCCACAGAAGGCATCAATCATACCTCGCCAGGGCCATCCCGAACCCCAGGATGGTGTGTAGACCCTCTTGGCTTCGGTCAGGAGGGCGTATACACCCTATGGCCCTGGCATGGCCCTGGCAGGGCACGGTGGTGGTGGTGTGCGGTGTATGGAGCCTTCCACGTATTCTGCCCCCTTGTTGGCAGAAGGCCACGGGCTGGCAGCAAGCAAGCTATCCGAGCAGATGGCAAGGGATGACATTGCAAGGGATGACACGGGGTAGTCTGGCAGACTTGCGGAGCATGGCGGTGCCCGTCCGTCGTGGATGTTGTCGCCGTCGTCGGTGCTTTTCCTGTATCTCCATCCAACCATGCCCCATCATTGACTGAGGGTTACATTTAGTGCCCCGCCCGCCCGACTGAGCGTCCTGGCCGCCGTCGTCATCGTCGTCGTCTTCGTCGTCGTCGTCTTCGTCGTCGTCTCCTTCGTCGTTTTCGTCGCCGCCGTCGTCGTTTGCCCGCTGCGAAGGGGAAGGGGGTTGGAGAAGGGTGGTTTCCCCCCCGAGGGGGGAGGAGGGGGGGCTCCGGTTCAGGAGGTAAGCGGCGGTGATTTTCGGAGAGGGGGGAGGGTCCGTGGGAGGAGGGAGGGAGGGAGGGAGGGGGGCCAAGTTCTAGAGGGGGGAGGGAGATTCCGCAGTATACAGCGCCCACGGAGCGCGCTCTCTCGCTGCTTCTGCCTGGCCCCCAGCGTTTTTGAGCCGCCGCATGCCAGGCTCGCCCTCCCCCCCCCTTGCTCGGGGCAGGCGCAGCAAGGGGGGTATGGGGAAAGGGGGGGCGAAAACTGATGCATGCAGCTGGATTCGGCCCCGCCGCCATGCATCTCTCCTCGACACGTGGCCGCCTCAGGCGCTGGGTTGGGCGCTGGGAGAGGCAGGTGCGTGCGCCCCGATTCGTTGTCCCCCCCGGGGCCCCCTCGCGACGTGAAGAGAAGGCGGCCAGGAGCTTTTTGGGGCATGGCCCCTTCCCCAGCCCCAGGACTGTCGAAGACCTGCTCGTCTTGAAACGCCCGTCCAGGAAAGAGCTCGAGATCTCAGGTGGGCCAGGTGGCTGAAACGTGACGCTGGAGGCGTGCGCCTGCCACCAGTCCCCTCCGGAGCCCTGACGTCGTGTTTACTCACGACATGGCCCCCTCGAGGTCTTGGCCCCTTCCCGTGGACCGGCTTTCCCATCCCGAGTCGTTTTCTGACGGTCCCGGGCCCCAGCGAGGGCCCCCAGAGGCCGAACACAAGCAAGAATTGCCCACCGCGAGTTCTCTCTTTACGACGCGGCGAGGTGTGGGTCATCTTTCGCCCCGAACGACGACAACGGCGACCGACGACGGCGGCGACGAACGACCATGAGCGCGAGCGACGAACGACGACGACGACGACGACGACGACGACGACGACGACGACGACGACGGGCGCTACCGAACGACGAACGCCGACGAACGACGAGCGATGGACGATGACGACGACGAGCGACGAGCGAACGAACACGAGCGACGAGCGACGACGCACGGCGCCCAACGACACAGCGCCGACCACGAAGGACAGACCCCGCGACGACCCGACGACGACCCGACGACCCGCCCCAAGCCTTAAGTCGGGCCTGTCCCTCTACAGGAGGAGCATTCAAAAATAGTAATTTGGGGGCATGTTTGGAGTATGTTTTAGTTCTTCGCCCAAACTCCGCCTGTAGGGGGACACGCCCGACCTAAAGCTACTGTCGGTGTTTAAGCTTCAGGCTCATACATGGAAAAGGAAGTCCCAGGCGAAACGCCCAGCCCGCCTTTCCGACGGGCCTCGGGGTGCGACAGCGAGGAGCTGCTCAGAAGGAACAGGAATGGAGGAGCAGGAGCAGGAGCAGGAGCAGGAGCAGGAGCAGGAGCAGGAGGAGGAGGAGGAGGAGCAGGAGGAGCAGGAGCAGGAGCAGGAGCAGGAGTAGGAGAAGGAGGAGGAGGAGGAAGAGGAGGAGCAGGAGGAGGAGCCCGGCGCCAGGCCGCCCCAGCAGGCCGGCGGCCCGTGGAGCGCCCGCACCCCGGGCGGGCGCCTCCTCCCCTCGGCCGCCCCCCGCGGCGCCCCGCCCGCCGAGGGGCGGGCCCGCGCCCCGGGCCGCCGCCTCGAGAGCGAGGCCCCGCGGAGGGGGCGGCCCCTCGGCCGGCAAGCCGCGACGACCGACGACCGACGACCGCGAGGGGGAGTGAGGCGTGCGGCGCGAGGGGGAGGAGGGGGAGGAGGGGGAATGAGGAGGGAGGAGGAGGAGGAGGAGGAGGGGGAGGGGGAGGAAGGAAAGATGGGTGACTGGGGGGAAAGGGGGGTGGGCGACCGCTCACTCCAAACCCCTTCTTCCCAGACCTCCTCGCGTCGCGAAACAATCACGACGGGAGTTGTTTGGTATTTTACGCCTCCCGAGGCCCTCGCCGGAGATGTCAGGACCGTCAAAGAACGACTCAGGATGAGAGACCGGCCCCCGGAGCGCGGCCCCTCCCGGCAAGTCGCGACGACCGACGACCGGCGACCGCTTGCTTCAAATCCCTTGTTAGTCGACCCCAGAGATCCAGCGCATTGAAAAAAATCAAAACGGAGGTTTTTGTTGCAGCTTTCGGCCTCGAGGGGCCCTCGCCAGGCACCAGGACCGTCAAAAACGACTCAGGATGAAAAATCGGTCCCCGGGAAGGGGTCGAGACTTCCAGGGACCCCGTATTGAAAAAATCACGACGTCGGATCTATTGGCATTCCAAATCCTTCATTAATCCACCCCCCCTAAGAATCCGAACCCCCCTCCAAATGCGACCTAATATTCCGGACCCCCCTCTTCGACCAGGGGCCTTGATGACCCGGACCCCCTAAGCTCCAATCCAACGAAAGCGCCCTAATAAACCAGACGCCCGCAGTTACAAAAAAGGCGCCTTAAAGTACCAGATCTGGGGGACGATTAATAAGGGATTTGGGACAGAGGGAGGAGGCCCTGGTCACTAGAAGAAGAGGAAACGCTATGAACATAAACTTTGGGCGCTCCGCACGGATTTCTTGGGTCCGCGCTGGGGCCCCCCAGCGGCGCCACCGGCGCCGCCCCTGGCGCGCGGATCCAAGAAACCCAAGAGATCCGTGCGGAGCGCCAAAAGTTTATGTTTATATAGCGTTGTCGCTTCTTCTTCTAGGCAAGTCGCGAGACCGACGTCCGGCGACCGTTTAGAGGGAGGAGGTCCGGGGTCGGGGACGCACCCCTGGGGTCAGCCCAAGCCCAGATCGGCCAGGGCCTCGTCACGAAGCTCGGCCGCTCAGTACAGCTCCCAAGAACCCGGGTCTGTGGAGGGTGGCGCTGCGGGTTCGGCTCCAGGGGGCTTCCAGACCGGGGTCAGCCAGAGGCGATTGCAGTGGCTCCCCTGGGTTTCCTGGGTGTCGATGGTTCTGCGGTGGAACGCGTGAGGTCCCCGCATTAAAAAATCGATGGACGTCCTAGGGTCTCAGGGTTGGGTTTTTTGTGGAAGGTTTCCTGTTGACCCTCGTCAGCGCTGACCCCCGTTGCGTGAGCTCCGAAATTGCATGAGCATGAACTGTTTGAGGTCCGCGCAGGTGTCCTGGATCGGCGCTGGGCTCCCCCTTGCGGCGCCTCCGGCGCCGCCCCTGGCGCGCTCCGCGCGTCAGGGAGGGGGGTCGTCGGGCAGGGTTAGGACTAGGATGAGGATAAATCTGTTCCAGAGCGTTCCGGAACGCTCTCAGAGCAGTCCCGAGCGCTCTGAGATTACCGCGGCGCCCGAGGCATCGTCTAGAGCCACCGGATCTCAGCGAGTCTCGATTTCCCCTGACCAGGGTTTTTGTCCTCGCCTTGGCTTCGTCTTAGGTCCAGCGCGGATCCGAGAAAGCCGCGCGGACCTCCGATCAGTGCTGCTCACGCAGCTTGTCTTTTCCTTCTTCTGCATGTCGCCGGTCGTCCCTCTGCTTGTGGACGACGATGAGTGGAGAGGAACACGTTTGCAATTAGGCCAAGATGTCTAAGAAGTGCTTCAAGCATGTCTTAAACATGTGAACACATGCTTAAAGTATTTGAAAAGATGTCCAAACATTTTGAGCACAGTTTTTGTTTTCTGATAGGACCGTTGGGGTGTCCGCTGTCATCGCAGGCCTAGAGGTTGACACCAACATCAATATCGGCGTTGTCTCTCCACCGAAGGAAGAAGATCCCGATCTCGGTGATGGTGGTAATATTCTGGCTTCCAAGGTGACCGAAATATTACCGCCAACACCGAAATCCAGGATCATCTTCCCCCTATGGAGGCAGCACCCTGTGTTGGTGTTGGTGCCCATTCCCAGGCCTCCAATGTCATGGCATCTACAACCCTCTGCAAGTGTCGTGGGCGGGGGCCGAGGGGTGGGTGGGTCGGTCTTCGCTCGGCGAGGCCACGTCGGCCCTGCCCGGCGTGTTCGTGATCTTTGTTACGTGGCATATTCGGTGGGCCTCGTCTTAACTCGGGCGTGTCCCTCTACAGGAGGAATGATCAAACATGGTCAAAAAATAGTCTGCGGACGATGATTCGATCCTTTGTTGATTCCATGTTTGACTATTGGTTGACTACTTGTTCATGTTTCGTCCTAAATCCGCCTGTAGGGGGACACGCCCGACCTAAGCTAAACTTTGCCTCTGCCCCAGACTGGTGCCTTTTTCTGTCCCCGACTCGGGTTCAATGCGGACTCGACGCGGATGCGGCGTGGATTGGACGAAACCAACATGGATTCGACACGGCTAGGGGCACGACGGAAGAGTCAAGGTCCCCCGAATATGCAACATGATGTTTGGCCTTCCTGGAGGCTTCTCGTCGCCATGTTCGGACCCACCTCGAAAAAGGGGGCAGGATGGACCTCTGGAAGGGATAAACCTCTCGAAAGGGTCGGGCGACCGATATCCCAGCTCCCCCTTTCTATTCCCTTTTCTCAGAAGCGAAAGCAGGACGTACACGTACATGAACCCAGGCGGGTTTCGAGTACGCATTGCGCGAACGTTCGTATCACGCGACCCCTCTCCCAGATTTGGGGAGGTGCGCGTTCGTGTACGTGGTTGGGCGCGTACGTCTTTCGTGGGCTCCCTATCCTCGTTCTCCCCGACAGACGATGTCGTCGACGTCAGCATCAGCGTTTGCGCCTGCGCCTGCGCCTGTGCCTGCGCCGTCTTCGTCGGTGTCGGCGTCAGCGCTGTTCGTCGGCGCCAAGGGTCGAGTGTCGAAGATCCAGGATTCAGGTTTTGAGGGGCGGCTGGGGGGGCCCTGTTCGGACCTCCAGGGGCGCCTCCGTCACCGCGGCAGGTTCCGCCTTCAAAGATGCTTGCCGGGGCGAGCCTCGAAACCCGTCTGGGGACGTCGCCGTCGTCGTCGCCGCCGCCGCCACCGTCGTCGTCGAGGCACCGAATCCTCCTCGGCCGCCTCTCTGGCCCCTCGGCCTCTCTGGGGGAAGGCCGTTCCTCCGTTCTGGCCTCGCCGTGCGTCGAGGCTCCTTAGAGACCTGAGGGTGGGGAACGTTCTCCCCCACAGGCGGCCCTCTCTTGTCCACGCTCCTTCCTCCTCCTTCCGTTCGCCGCCTCGCCCTACTCGTCCAGCCTCATCCTCAGCACCGCCTCCACCACCACCACCATCTCCACCACTACCATCATTATCACCATCATCATCATCAGCAGCAGCAGCGCCATCATCAGCATCAGCTTCAGCATTAGCATCAGCATCATCATCAGCATCATCATCAGCATCATCCTTATCGTCGTCGTCATCATCGCGATCATCATCCTCCTCCTCCTCCTCCTCATCATCATCATCCTCATCATCATCATCATCATCATCATCCATACCATCCTCACCATCATCATCATCAACAACAACAGCAGCATCATCATTCATCATCATTAACGTCATCATCATCATCGTCGTCATCGTCATCGTCACCCTCATCTCATTCACCAATCACCATGCATCCTCATCCTAATCGTCATCATCGTTACCATCATCATCATCATCATCATCATCCCTATCATCCTCATCATCCCCATCAGCATCAACATCAGCATCAGCATCCGCATCATCAGCATCATCATCATCATCATCGTCGTCATCATCATCATCATCCTCATCATCATCATCATCATCATCATCATCATCATCATCATCATCTCCCCTGGTCCTCCTTCATCCTTTCTCATCGTCCTCGTCCTCCTTCTTCCTGGTCCACCTGATGGTGGTCTTCCGCCTGCCTCCTCGTCGTCATCCTCATCCTCCTCCAAACGATCCCTCATCCTTCCCATCTCTCCGTCTTCGTCCTCGTCCTCCTTCCGCCTCCGTCGTGCTTCGCCTCGGGCATGTGTTCCCGAGTGGCTCCCTCTCTGGGCGGGCAAAGCAGTCCCAAGCAGTGCTCCTTTCTACTCCTTGTCCTTACCTGTTCTCCTCCTCCGCCGCCGCCGCCGCCTCCTCCTCCTCCTCCTCCTGCTCCAGCTCCTGCTCCTCCCCCTCCCCCTCCTCCTCCTCCTCCTCCGACTCCTTCCCCTCCGAAGCTCCACCGAGATTCCGTCAAGTTTCCACGACGCCAGGATGCCACGCTTTCAGGCCATAACACGTGCCTCCAGCGGCCGATCGGGACGATCCGGGCACCCCTTGACCGCCCTCGACGCGCCGCCACTGCAGGAGCCACCGAAAGCGCCCCCGAGCTGACAGTAACCGACGCCAGTCCTCCCTCCCGCCCGCCGCTTCCCCCCCTCGCCTCTGCGGCTCTATACTTTCATGAAGTGCTTCGATTGTGGTTCTCTCGCGCAGGTGGCCAGTTCGGCCAAGACCAGCTCAGGGGTCGAATTAGCACAGCCATGCGTCTTACCCATATCGAAGACACGCCGCGACTATCTCACCAGAATTTCTTGCGGTGCGCTTCCCATAGCCTGAGTTCAGCTTGTCAATCACTCTTGTGATGGCGGAAATCCTAGAAATCCCCCCACACTTGTTCATGATTTGCTGGCTCACCTGAGGCTGGTTTTGTCCTGGAGAGGGGCCGCGTGTTTGGCACGTAGGCCCCGTCTTGTTTGGGTCCGTGCTGCCGTGTTCTGTCAATCTGAACCTTTTTGGTTACGTTTTCCAGGCTCGGACATTGCATCCTCCTGTCCTGTCGCAAGTCATGGGGGTCTTCTATATCCTCGGAACTCCATCTTTCGAGTACAGTAGCGTCGATTAGCGTTTGTTAGTCGACGAGGTGGCGCCGATATAGCATCGAAAAGCGTCGATTAGCGTCGATGTAGAGTCGATTTAGCGTCGATCGGCGTCGATCTAGCGCCGATCCGCAAGAGCCAACAAGACGGTATGAGAGGCTCCCATGAGTTGCCGCAGAGCTTCTGCTCACCTCCTCTCTTCGCCCTCCAACTCCATGCCGAAGTCCCCGCCCACGCAGGCGGCGTACCCCGAGCACCCCGCCGTCCAGGCGCGCACCTGGTCCGAGGTCGAGAGGTGGAGGGCAAGCCAGGGCGTCCTCGTCGAGGGCGACGGCGGCCAGGTCGTGGGAGGGAGCCGAGGCGAGCTCTGACACGTGTGCGTCGCGGCAAGCATGCAGGCGGTCCTTTGCCGGCCGTTCTCGGGCTCCATAAGGGGCCCTCGATCACCCGGTCCTGGGACCGTGCAGGGCGAGCGACTCGGGACGAGAGGCCGGCCCCCCAGGGGAGGTGCCCAGACATTTGGGGAGCCGCGCTGTGAAGAAGACGCGACGTCGGATGCCTGGGAGGGAGGTGGGGGGAGCTGGGGGCGGCGAGGGAGGCAGGGAGGCCAGGGGATCCCCTGCTCGAGGGAGGGGCGGGAGGTGAGGGAGGCGAGGGAGGCGAGGGAGGCGAGGGAGGTGAGGGCGGCGAGGGAGGTGAGGAGCTGGGGGGGGGGGGGCGAGGGGGGCGAGAGGAGGGAGCGATGCGAGGGAGGCGAGAGGAGGGGGAGGGGAAAGGGACGGAGGGGGCCGGGGAGGCGCGGGCCCCGCGGGCCCCCTCTTCCGATCGTGCCGGCCCGCCCCGGGTGCGCTTGGCGCTGCCAGCGCTGCTGCCGGGAGACTCGCTGAGAGCGTGCCCGCCGGGTCCCGGCAGCCGTCGCGTCGCCAGTGTTTGGCCACGCGCAGAAGGGGGGTGGGTTGGAGGGGGCAGGGCTTCTTAGGAGCACCCCTGCTTCTTAGAAGGCGCGGGCCTTATCTGAGGCCAGCGCCGTTTAAGGAGCAGCCTTCTTCTAAGAAGCCTTCCCTCCCCCCTCCCTCCACCCCCTGTTTCCGACATGGGGGGGGGGAGAAGCGACACCATCACCACCAGGGGGGCCACCTCCAGGGAGGAGGTCCACGATACCTCCCCGAAGCGGGGACAGGGGACGTGGCTCGCGCGAGAGAGGGAGGCCGGGATGCCTCGAGCGAGAGAGAGAGAGATATGGGGGAGAGAGAGAGAGAGAGAGAGAGAGAGAGAGAGAGACCACACCACCAAGGGAACCTCCCCTGACTCCTCCCGCTGGTGGCCCCTGGTGGTGCTGGTGCCGCTTTTCCTCCCTCCCACGACAGGACGCAGGCCGCGAAGCTCACTCCGACCGTGCCCAGCCTGGAAGGCTGCCCTCCCGCGCGAAGGTGATCGCACCTCTCGCGTGTCGGCCTGGGCCGCAAGGGTGCCCTCCTCCAGGGCGGCGGCGCGAGGGCGCGAAGGCAGCCGCGCACCGCGGGGCGCGAGGGCGCGAGGCTTTACCTCGATGGCCCAGGGTGCCCCGAAGGACAACGACACCCTCACCATCGCGAGGACACCCCCCCCTGGTCCCTGACGGCGGTGGCGCGGTTGCCGCCTCTCCCAAGACAGGTGTGATTACACAGAGATGTGCAGCGCATGACTGCGAAAGCACTGCCGCATGAGCTGCTGCAGGCGTGCAGGCGCAGGCGTCCTCGTGCTCCGTTTGGGCACCCGCTGCGTGATCCGCGGCCGCCGAGGCTCGCCTCCAGGCGTCTTTCTCGGGGGCGCTCCCGTGCAGGGGGGGGGACAGGCAGAGGAGGCATGCCTTCCCAGAAGGCTCAGGAGGTCTCCGGCCTTCCGAGAAGCTTTCGGGACCTTCTCCGAAGCCCCGGCGCCTTCGGGGAAGGCCTGCCCCCCGGCAGCTCCCCGCCCCCCGCCCTCCGCCGGCCTTCGGCACGCCCCGAAGTCGGGCAGGGAGAGCTGCGCCCTTGCAGCTCGACGCGCTCTTCGCCGATCGCCGGGGAGGAACGACAGTTGGACGAACTACATAGTCGTGGAGTCGTCGAGTCAGCCGGGCAGGACTGCGTTACGACAGCGTCTGTTTGAGATGGCGTGGATGGCACATCGGATCGCAGAGCCGTTTTCGGAATTCTAAGAGTGGATGCACGCGCAAAATCGAGTGCCGGAAAGCAAAAGGACCCCAGACGATGGTAGGCGACTTTCGGCGAGCAGAACGATGCCGCCAGCAGCAAGGTCGGGACGCATGCGATGTCGCTGAGCAAGGGCGCGGTCTGCGGAGTCTGCAGCCAGTTTTGCAAAGTCATTCCGAAGTTCAGAACGTCGCCGAGGTTCAGAACATGGTTTGGGACGTCGTCTTCGAGAGTGTGCTCATTGCAGGAGTTGTCGTTCCATTATACGAGGACTTGTACCAGAAATTGGGATCAAGTGGTGCAATCGGCGAGGCCTGCACGACGGACGACGCACAAGAGGTCACGGCAGAGGAACTCACGGCAACCCTCCAACGTTTTGACCATCGGAGAAAAAAGGCAACGACGGTTTGGTATCGGAAACGTTGTGCACCGAGCTTGCAGGCCTGATGCTCGTCGGTGTTTTCCTTACATGCATCCTGAAAAGCAGAATGGAGTTGCCGAGCGAATAGACATTCGCACGCCCGTATGTAATTTGCAAGAGAGGTGATAGGCACTAGCTGGAAAACTACAGGCCGATATCAATGACCACAGCGGCGGCAAAATTATGTAGCACAGGGATGCACAACCGCATCCGGGACACAATTGACAATTTGGAAGAGGAACGATGCAAGTTTGGTAAGGGAAGGGGATTCGATGACGCAGTACGTGCATTTTTTCCAGCGTTCAATGTGGAGTCCGTCAAGCGGGCCCCTTGCCACCAGTGCTGTTCAACCTGGTCGCAACGCGAGTTCTAAAGGAATCCCACTGCGCCTGGCAGCGCAGGGGATACGGGACCGCAGCGGGACAGGACTTCACAGGAAGGCGTCCCACGTGCGGCGTGACATCGGATGCGCGATCATGGCTGTGCTGTCATTCGAAGAGGCGCTGTGGAAAAGACGGATCAATCTACACCCCACGAGATTCAAGGTTCAGACCAATAGTTTGCAGACGGTGCGGCGCGGGGACGTCGATATAGGACCCGCCTTCTCCGTGTACGTGCTGTGCTGGTGGCGGGAGATCCTTTGGAAGTGTACTTGTGGACCCTTTGACGTTACCAGCGCAGAAATCTATCACCGAGTCTCTCTGGCCATGAAACGGCTGCTGCTTAACGGGGAGGTGTCTACAAATTCGCGCCGGATTTGGTGTGTAATATGTCCGTTGGAAGCAGCGTTTGGTACTGCTCGGGTTCGTGGACGCCTCGGGCTGCATAGCTACGAGGTTTGTAATGGGCTCACCACAAGATATGACATCACATGTGCGTTTATTTGTCTCCCAGCGCAGGCCAGACAAGCAATGGCATGAACGGGTCTCCAAAGCCATGAGGGGTCGTGGACCAAAGCGCACCATTTGGGAATAAGGGAGTGGACAGGCACACTCGCGACGTAATCGGTCATGGGCAGGACACGTGCAGAGAATGAGTGCGAGTTCGGGAATGTACATACTTTCTTCCTGGAGATCTCATGAATGGATACGGGACTCTTGCGGCGGGCGCGTGAAGTGGGTCGACACGTTACGGCGCTTCTGCGCGACGGAGGGACGCCACAGCCGGACAGAGGTCGTTGTTGACCGATGCGCCTGGTTCGGCCGGGAGGGCCAGTGCGTCACGTGGTGCCGAGTGGGAACACTGCGGGCCCGCCCGCCCCCAGGGCCTCCTGCATGAGCTGCGCCCCAGCCTTCCAGCCTTCCAGCCTTCGCCGATCACCCCATGCGGCGAAAAAAAAGAGGAGGAGGAAAACCAGGAGGGAACGGAGGAGGAGGAGAAAGAGGAGGGAAAGCAGGGGGAGGTGGAGGAGGAGGAGGAGGAAGAGGAGGAGGAAAAGGAGTAGGAGGAGCAGGAAGAGCAGGAGGAGGAGGAGGAGGAGGACAGGTAGGACAGGGAGGAGGAGGAGGTTAAGCAGGAGGAGGAGGAGGAAGAGGAGGAGGGAGAACAAGGGGAGGGGGAGGAGGAGGAGGAGGAGGAGGAGGAGGAGGAGGAGGAGGAGGAGGAGGAGGAGGAGAGGAGGAGGGAGGAGGAGGAGGAGGAGGGAGGAGGAGGAGGAGGAGGAGGAGGAGGGAGGAGGAGGAGAGGAGGAGGAGGAGGAGGAGGAGGAGGGGGAGGAGGAGGAGGAGGAGGAAAAGGCGAAGAGGGATGATGATATGAAAGAGGAGGAGTAGGAGGAAGAAGAGGAGGAGGAGAAGGCGAAGAGGGAGGATGATATGAAAGAGGAGGAGGTGGAGGACGATGCGGAGGAGGAGGAGGAGGAGGAGGAGGAGGAGGAGGAGGAGGAGGAGGAGGGGAAGGAGGAGGAGGAGGAGGATGCGGAGGAGGAGGAAGGTCAGGAGGAGCAGGCACAGGAGCAGGAGCAGGAACAGGGGCAGGAACAGGAACAGGAGGGAGAAGAAATCAGAAACCCCTCCCATCCCTTGTCGCCATCGTCCTCCCCCTCCTCGTCCACCCTTGCGTCCCTGCCTCCTCCTTGCCCCTTCCTCTGGCTCATCCCCTCCTTCCCCCTCCTCTGCTTCCTGTCGCTCCGTTTCCCCCCGTTCCCCCCAGGTCATCCCGAAGCCGACGCTGTCTTTCGACGAGGCCCCATTCCCGGACTGGGCCGGGGAGGCGCTCGGGGGGCGCCAGCTATACAGCCACTCCGGCCCTGGCAGTGTCCCATCCGGGGCCCCACGGTCCGTGCTTATACTCACCCCGGGCCAGGCCCAGGGGGCGTAGCACGCCGATCGAGGGCCCGTGCTGGCGTCGCGACAGCGGCAACGAACACGACGTGTCGTATTCCAGCCGAGGCGTCGTCGTCGACGGGACGCCAACCTGGGCCGTCGACGTCGTGTGTGACGTCGGCGAGGCGTCGGCGGCAACGACAGAGACGAATACGACGACAACGCGTCGTCGGCGTCGTCACCGAGGCGTTCCGCAGCTGGGGTCTCGCGGCCCCGTCGCCGCTGCAGGCGCAGGCGTGGCCGCTGGTGGCGACTGGCCGAGACGTCATGGCCGTCGCGGCGCCCGGCATGGGCAGGACGCTGCGACGTCGTCGTAAGGCGACGGTGGCGACGACGACAATCGCGTCGGCGACGATGGCGACGACCGCGGCCGCGACAGTGACGGCGACAGCGCCGGCGACAGCGCCGGCGACGACTGCGTCGGCGACGGCGACGGCGGCGGCGACGACCACGTCGGCGACGGGGTCGACGGCAGCGGCGACTGCCTCGGCGACGGCAACGAGGATGGTGGCAGCGACAGGGACGGGTAATTCGGAAGGAAGCCTCCACCGAATTTTACCAGGGTTCGCGGCTTCGGGAGCGCGCGCTCGCGAGTTCTCGCGAAACGACGGGACGCCGAGCAGCGCTTCCCTGACAAATCTCCCAGCACAGATATTTACAGTTTCTGTTATTCAGGAGGGGAACAAAGCACACAGACACAATCAATCGTCGATCTCCAGGAAATTATAAGAAAATATGGGAAGTGGGGGGGGAGACGAAAACCCAGAAAGTATATGAAAATATTGGGAATCCTGGGATTTGTGTGTATTTATGTGTGTGTGTCCCTGGGCCCCTCCAGTTATGCTCTGTAGAGGGGGGGGGGCTCTGGGGGGCAACCTCCGCGGGGAGGGTTCGTGGCCTCGGGCACGCAGACGCGCCGTGATTTGCGATGGGTTCTGCATCGGAAGCGTAGCGCAGATCTATACGGGGGGGGGCGTTCGTTAAGGAATGTGCCCAGGAGGCTGGACCCTGGATAATTCCTTATTTGATGAGGGCGGCGGTGATATCCATTGCAGATCCGCGATTGGAGTTCCACCTGCTTCCAGACCCTGGGTTCTTTATCTAAGGGTTCCTTGTCCAGTGCCCCCACCGTAGTAAATGGCAACAAGAGGTTGCGACCCCAGTGTCGCGAACTATGTAATTTGCGACGGCGTGTGGCTTCGGGAACGCGACTGTGCGTTGTAAGTTACTGGACGTTGTGATCATCTCGGACGTGCGAGCCCGTCGTACTTCACGAGGGGCTGTGGCATCAGGAGCGCGAGTGCGCTGTGCTTGTGGTTGACAAGGGGTTCTTGCCTCGGGAGCGCGAACCACGTTGCACTTTATAAGGTGACGTGGCATCGGGGGCGCGAATCCGTCGCACTCTACCATTGGTCGTGGCTGCAGGGGCGCGAATCTGCCTGTCGTCAGCTTACGTGTCCCAGGCCAGCCCCGAAAAATTGACATCCCCCGGGGAGGTTTTTGCAGGGCCCGCTTCGAGCCCCCCCATCGCGCAAACTTCAACCATCACAGCACTGGACTGTGGAACGAGCTGGAACTGGCACAGGAAACAGGACAGCCTAGCCCACGCAGAGTGTTGCCCCCCCGAAGGGCCAGCGGTTTCTAGATGTACGCATAGAAAGGTATAGGGAGAACAAAGAGAGAGAGAGAGAGAGAGAGAGAGAGAGCAGGAGAGAAAGAGAAAGAGAGAGAGAGAGAGAGAGAAAATAATAATAATAATGATACTAAGAAGAAGAGGGGAACAGGGACAGAGAGAGAGAGAGAGAGACAGTGTATATATTGCATATATATGAGTGTTTACTGATAGAGAGAGAGAGAGAGCTATAGTGACACGTCATGCTATGTCTGTAGAACTATGTTTGTATAGAACGTGTGTGTGCACATGTGAGAGAGAAATAGAGAGAGAAGGAGAGAGGGCGAGAGGGAAGGATAGGCAGCGACAGGGGGAGAGAGAGAGAGAGAGAGAGAAACAAAACAACCGAGAGATTGAGACATAAAGAAACAAGAGGAGAGAGATAGAGATAATAGAAGGAGAGAGAGAGAGAGGGAGAGCGAGATACGAGAGATATGCCATATGTGTGTGCACATGGGCGTACAGGCATATCCCCTCCTGCAGGTCCTGCAAAGGAAATCCTAAGGCCTCATCGTTACATTCGTGTCGTTCACTACCCCCTCGATTGTGTGTTGTGACGTCTTTGTAAGGAGTACCGAATACGGATTCCCTTTGTAATATTTAGCGGCCGCAGGGATCCTTAGTCTGGTTTCTGTGTAAGGGTCCTTAGATCGGATTCTCCACTTTGGGACCCGTAGCACGGATTCCCGTAGTAGGGTGTCTTTAAGCAGGACCCCGTCAGAAGGCATCTGTTAATCAGAACCCGTATTACATGTCATTTTGATTAGGAGTCGTTAGCACAGTTGTACTGGGGACTCCCTCCGTACGGGCCTTTGTAATATTGATTCCGCAGTGCTCGTTCTTTGAGTATGCATTCCTCTGTAAAGGTTCCTGTAATAAGAAATCCTCAGTAACCACCTCTGGGGCACGAGATTTTGATAGCGGATTCATGTAGAACGCATTCTTTCATAAATGGCCGGTTTAATTAGACATTCTGGGTATTCACCCCTTGGTCGAAACATTCTTAGTAATGACCACTTTTGTTGCCAGGAGTCTTTAGTGAGGATCCCTTGACTAAGGGGCCGTTATTCAGGACCGTTTTCAGTAACTATCCAGTCGTAAGGACGCTTTTCACAATGGATCCTCGTTCAGGATGTTTTTCATCACGTATTCCAAATTAGGAGTGAATCCTGAGTCAGGGCCCCTTTGATTCGGGATCCCCAGCCCAGATGACTGTGCCCAGGGTTCCCTCGGGTGGGGCCCCCTGTAAGACGGATTCCGCAGTAATGGTTCCGTTCCGTCCCGATTCCTCACTAACAGTGCTTCTGGTGAGGGATCCTTAGTGCGGGCCCCTGAATTGCAAAATCCTGTAGAGGATCCCTTCAGCACGCATTCTCGAATGCGGGTGCACTTTGTGATTCCGAGTGAGGACCCATGGAGAGGAGCCCTTAGTAAGGACCCCTGTAGTATGGAGACCTTAGTAAGGCTCCCATTGGAGTCAGTACTCCGATTCCTGTCAGTAAGGGGCATTTTTGTAAGGATGCCTTTAACAAGGGATCGTCGCTGGGGATACCCGGAATAATTTAACGGCCCCAGTCCTCAATCCAGATGCCTGTGCCAAGGATTCTCTCAGTCAGGGCCCCCTGTAATTTGAAGGAGCTTGCTTTGAGAACTCACGTCATCCTGACTCCAGCGCGCGACGGAACGGGCCTGCCAACCGCCCCCCCTCTTTTCCGTTGCCAGGAAATCTGGCACATCGGGGGCATCCGGCGACGAATTCCAAACCAGCGCGCTCGCGTGGGACATTTTTAGCAAACCGGCCCCCCGAGCCTCCCCCAGGGAGGCCCTCAGGCGCGCGCCGGGGCGCTACTGGGCGTGTGTCCCAGTCCGGGCCTCTCGATCGAGACATCTTCCTAAAGTCGACCCCGGCGCGCGAGAAATTCAGGCCCCACAGCGATCTCAGGAGCCGTTGGCGGGTATCTGCTGTCGCGCGCTGCGGCGCACAGGGGTGTCCCAGTCCGGGCCTCTCGCGCGCAAGACATCCCCTCCAGGTCGACACCTGGCGCGCGAGAAAGTCAGGCCCCACCGCGCCTCTGGGCAAAATGTTTGGGGATCTGCAGGAGCGCGCCGGGGCGCACCGGGAGTGTCCCAGTCCAGCGCTCTCGCTCGAGACATCCTCGACAAAGTCGACCTGGGCGTGTTCCACTGGGGCTCCCGCTCGAGACACCCTCGCAAAGTCGCCAAATCGCCCCTCAAAGGAGCCTTCCGAGGACGATGACGAAGATGAGCATGGAGGGAGTCGTAGGAGGACTTAGGGGGGGCGGAGGAGGAGGAGGAGCAGGAGGAGGAGGAGGCGGAGGAGGATCAGGAGGAGGATCAGGAGAAAGAGGAGGATTAGGAGGAGGAGGAGGAGGAGGAGGGGGAGGAGGAGGAGGGCAAGCCGACTTCTTTTGTGCGAGGGGGGGGTCGCATAAATTCGTGCTGCAGCAGAGGAGGGGTAGGCCTGGCCCGGGGGGAAAAGGTCCCAGGGGGACACGCAAACTGACCCCCTGAATCCACTGGCCTCGTTTTTGTTGCCCCGCCCCCCTCCCCCAACACAAAACAAAAAAATGGGGCCAGTGGATTCAGGGAACCATGTTTTCTGTTATTGGGACCTTTGTGCCAGGGCCAGACTCTCACACGAAGTGAATATGTTTGCATCCTCCCACCACACAGGGACTACGACAGAGAGAAGGAGAGACAGAGAGAGAGGGAGAGAGAGAGAGAGGGAAATGAGAACGTTTATATTTATTTATATTTATGGGATCGAGAGGTAAGCATCAAGCGAAGAGAGAAGAGTCGAAATAAGGACGAGTACCCCCAGTTCTTGCTTGACCAGAAAAGCAGGCGGCGATATAACAGCGCGCCCGTGTACGTACACACAGTATACTGGTGTATGTAGATATACACATATTGACAACGAAGTATGTGGACATGTAGGGCAGGAAGATGGGTATATAGGGAGGGAGAGAGAGAGGTATATGAAGAGAGAGAGAGAGAGAGACAAAGAGAAAGAGATAACAGGAACATAACTCATACATATATATATAGAGAGAGAGACATATGCCAACACACAAGCAGAGGGAGTATACGGACAAAACGAGAGAGGCAGGTAAAGAGGGACGCTGACCTGCAAGCTGCCCAGGACGCTGGCATACGCCCTGCCCCTGCTGGTCCGCGCGCTGCAGCGCCCCGGGGCCGCGGAGGCCACGGGCCCCGCGGCACTCGTCCTGGCGCGCCCCCGGGTGGACCGAACCGCACCGCGCCCGCCGTCGTGGGAGGGAAGCGCACCCTGACGGCCAGAGGAGGGCTTGGCATCGCTCGGACGTGTGCATTTTTCCTTCGGCGAGGACCATCGAGGAGCATCCTTGATCATTTGGCGAAAAAGCCACGCACGAAACCGAAACAAAAACACAGGGAATGGACGTCCGAGCGATGGCCAGAGGGAAGGGTACCCACACCGCCACTCTGCATTTCTTACCAAGCGTGGGGGGGTACCCCCTCGACGGGGGTCAACCCCGCCTCGTCGTCGCGCCGCGACGAGGGTCGGAGCGCCTTCGGCGCGCGGTGGCTGCCCGCGACGGGGGTCGATGAGGGGCTGTCGGCGGGGGTGACGCCCCCCCGACGCTTATAAAGAAACTCGGAGCACTCATACCGCTACACTTCCCTCGTGTTTCCCCTTTTTGGGCCTCCTGGGAGGCCCCCGTCGCCACCGCCGCATTCGCCTTGGAATCCTGGTCAGAACGCACTCCGGGAGAGGTCTGGGGAGTAGCGGTATCGGTACCTCTTGGCCTCCCCGGACACGTTCGCGCCGTGGAAAAATTCGAAACGAAGCCAGGGCACCAGCTGCCGAGGCTTTTGGCGATTCTGGGCCTCTGGGGGGCCCCTGACCGGGCCCAGGGCCGTGGAGCAGCGGCTCGGGGTGGAATTCCCGTCTCTGGGACGGGTCCAGACATCTGAGGAGCCACGTTTCGGACAAACAGGCATGGCGCTGGATGTCGGGGGGCAGTCCATTCGGGAAGATCGGAATCGGGCCCGACCAGACAGACTGGGCTCGACGGCCAGCAGCAGTTCCCGTTCATCTTGAGCAGGGTTCGCTGTCGGTGTCGCCGCGGACGCGGTCCATTCGGGACAGAGGTCGCCTGCCCAGCCCAACAGCGGCGTCTGCTGGCTTTGGACAACATTTGATGTTAGGCGTCGTGCTCACTTCTCTGTCCTGGTCCACAGTCGCAGCGCCAATGTCAGACGTGCCATCCCATCTCCACGGCCTCACGGTCTGGACTCTTTGGCCGCGACCCCATTGGCCCACTGGTGGTTTCTGCGGGACTGCTCTGCGCTGGTGCACCGCGCGGAACGTATCTATGGGATCGCGCCTCGGTGCCCGGAGCGCGAAGGTGTGTATCCGGACATGCCCGCCCCTCGTGATTCCAGACTCTCCGACGGCTTCGACTCTTGCGGCGGTCACTAGGGCTCTGGGCGTGCGCCAGATGAACGAATCGCTCCGCGCCTTCCGGGTGTCTTAGCGGTCTGGATCGCAGCTGCGCCAGTCCTTGTCAGGCTTCTCTCCTTCCAGAGGCACCGTTAGAGAGCCGTTAGAGGGGGACTGGCCCAAGGGCGACGCATCGACCCCAATCACCACTTCCTCGCAGATAGGGGTCCGGTAGCCCACCCCGCCCAGGAACGTTCAGATTCTCGATCGATTCCAGCTCGATGTTTCACCCCCTGAGCCGCGGGTCCCCGACTAAAGTTTTGCCTGTTCTGGCCTCGCGCTTCCCTCGGCAGGAAGCCGGCCCCTGGCGTCCCAGTCCCATCCAAGTCCGCGGTGGGGGGGGGGGGGGGGCGTGCGCGCGAAGTTGGGCTTGTGTTTGCGCGAGGTTCAGCAGGGGAGCTGGCCCCGGCCTGTGAAGCGAATCGTTCATTGCTCGCAAACCTGCAGTAGAAATAAATGCCCTTGACGGCAGGCGTAACCCTCTTGGGTCGGGTGGGCTCATGTGCTTTCTCATCCTTGGAGCGGTGGTCGTGACCGTGGGCAGGACAAACCTTCTGGTCCCAGAGCCTGCCACAGGGACCTTACTTGGCACATGGAGTTGGTGGATGGTATGTGTGGTCTGCATACCCTGGAATAGACACCTCTGTTGAAAAAAGACCAGGAGGAGGAAGCGAAGGAAGAGGAGGACGAGGAGGAGGAGGTGGAGGAGGAGGAGGAGGAGCAGACGAGGAGGAGGAGGAGGAAGTGACCTCGGAGATTGTCGAGCCCCCGGGCGCACGTACCCTGGCAGCCGCCGAGGGTTTCCCAGGGGTGCCCCGATCGTCCCAGATGATCCCATGGCCTGAAGTACTGGAGTACGGCCTCGATGAAATCGTCGGGGTAGTTATTTGTATGTCCTCACGTTGATGTTTCTTTGTTCCCCTGGGAGGCGAATTGTGTAGGATGGGGGACAGCTGTATGAGCTGTTGCAGCAGCAGGGGTTCAGGCCGTAGCAGCACGACCAGCCTCAGTACCTGACAAGCAATAGCATGATCAGCAGAAGTAGCGACAGCGGTGTAGTTAGCGCTAGCAGTAGCGCGAAAGAAATGAAAGTAGCAGACCCGGCCCAAATTGGCGCCCGGCGTCTGGGAAGTGTTGTTGCATTCCATCGCCAATCAGTTTTCACGTCACAGCAGTTTTCGCCCCAGCCATATTAATTCCAAGACTTCAGTGGCCTGGGCGTGCCTTCACATCGAGTCCAGAAGAGGCGCCAGCAGTAGCCATACTATTATGGCAGCCGCACCTGCACAAGCAGAAGCATTGATAGACAGCGCTTCTGGCAGAGGCAGCAGCTGCAACACAGATGTCAACGGCAGCGGCCGCATTTTTGCTTGCGAAGCTTCCGAGACACGATTCCCCCCGAGTATGCTGCTTGTGCGTTCGGATTCTTCCTGTGCCCTCTGCGACAGGGCGCTTGCGTGGGCCAGGAGTCGAGCGTATGACGTGTTCAAGGATTTGTAGATCACTTCGTTCGATTGATCCTGCATGGACTTCGTCCAACTCGCTTGTGGGTGGGAACCTTGTGTGGCGCGAAGCGCTGGGCCGACTCTGGTGCCTCTTGCAGCAGAAGCAGTGTAATCAACAGTGACAGCAGCAGAGCCAGCAGTCGCACTGCACGAGTAGGACTAGCAACATCAGTGACAGGCAGTGGCGGCTACAGTTGCCGCAACACGGCTAGCCATCATAGAGGCAAGGGGGTCCCACAATGAGTGTCGGGGTGAGCAACGCGTCCACTCACACCATGATGTCAATCTCAGGTGAAACTTAGCGCATGTTGAAGTAATGTCGTGGGTCGCTGTTGGTTGGCGCGTGAACGTTTCGCGCCAGCACGTGAGCACTGCAAAGTGTTCCACGCAGCTGTCATTCGCAATGTCGTCCCGCAGCAGAGAGAGAGAGAGAGAGAGAGAGAGACCACTACACGGGACAGTCGCACCACACTTCGGCCGTGCCTCCCGATGGTCGGTTCCAGGAGCCTGGTTTCCCGGGATCTGCAGCAGAAGCTGCCGCACCTTCGGCCACCCTGGCCGCCTGCCCAAGGTGTCCTCCCAGGAGCAGGGCGACCAGTTCTGTGCCGCCCTGGAGCCCATGGCCGTGGCGTCTGGCCTGAAGATCGCCACGCTGACGGACGAGGGCATCCCGAGAGACGTTGTGGCAACCTTAGACCCACATTGCTTCTGGGCCCTGGCTCTGCCAATGTCAGGAGGGAAAGAAACGCACACAGACACAATGAATCGTCGACTCCCAGGAAAATATGGGAAAACATGGGAAGTGGGGGAAGACGAAAACCCTGAAAATATGTGAAAGTACAGGGAATCCTGCTATTTGTGTGTATTTATCCGTAAGGGCTTCGCCCCCTGCCGCCGGCCCCCTCTCTCGGAGAATGGGCCATGGAAGAGCTAAGTCATGAGGCTTTGGCGCTGTCGCGCAGCAGTATCGGAACTTCATGCGAGGCCGATTCGCAATCGGCAAAACCAACTGATCACAAGAGGGGTTACCACACAGGGCGATTGGTAAGACGTGTATGGTTTACGAGCTTGGTTACCACACCTTGGGATTAAAGGGCCGAGGGAGTACTCGCAGTTTGGGTTACCACGCCTTGCGATGGATGTCCGTGAGGGGTGGCACCGAATTTCAGAAATGTGGCAAATCCCCTGTGTTTTTGGACCCTGACCCCGCGGATCTGCGTGAGGGGTGGCACCGAATTTCAGAAATGTGGCAAATCACATGTGTTTTTGGACCCTGACCCCGCGGATCTGCGTAGGGGTGGCACCGAATTTCAGAAATGTGGCAAATCCCCTGTGTTTTTGGACCCTGATCCCGCGGCTCTGCGTGAGGGGTGGCACCGAATTTCAGAAATGTGGCAAATCCCTGGTGTTTTTGGACCCTGACCCCGCGGATCTGCGTGAGGGGTGGCACCGAATTTCAGAAATGTGGCAAATCCCATGTGTTTTTGGACCCTGACCCGCGGATCTGCGTGAGGGGTGGCACCGAATTTCAGAAATGTGGCAAATCCCTTGTGTTTTTGGACCCTGACCCCGCGGATCTGCGTGAGGGGTGGCACCGAATTTCAGAAATGTGGCAAATCACATGTGTTTTTGGACCCTGACCCCGCGGCTCTGCGTGAGGGGTGGCACCGAATTTCAGAAATGTGGCAAATCCCTGGTGTTTTTGGACCCTGACCCCGCGGATCTGCGTGAGGGGTGGCACCGAATTTCAGAAATGTGGCAAATCACATGTGTTTTTGGACCCTGACCCCGCGGATCTGCGTGAGGGGTGGCACCGAATTTCAGAAATGTGGCAAATCACATGTGTTTTTGGACCCTGACCCCGCGGATCTGCGTGAGGGGTGGCACCGAATTTCAGAAATGTGGCAAATCCCATGTGTTTTTGGACCCTGACCCCGCGGATCTGCGTGAGGGGTGGCACCGAATTTCAGAAATGTGGCAAATCCCATGTGTTTTTGGACCCTGACCCCGCGGATCTGCGTGAGGGGTGGCACCGAATTTCAGAAATGTGGCAAATCCCCTGTGTTTTTGGACCCTGACCCCGCGGATCTGCGTGAGGGGTGTCGATTTCGAGCCCCCCCAGCAATTCAGACAACGCGCCCAGGGGGTGCTAAAAATCCTGTTTGGGCCTCCCCCCCCTCGCGCGGTCAATCAACTAGTTACAGTAACCAGCAAGAAGCAGAACTGTAACACTGGAAACTACAAGCTACAACTGGTACTGGAAACTGCGAACCCGCGCCTACAGCCTGGTGGCCCCACAAGGGGGCCGGCGGATCTGTGTGTTCCTGGTCCCCTTCACAATGGCAGGGCATCGAAGGTTTCGAAAGAGCAGGAGGAGGCGGAGGAGGAGGAGGAGGAGGAGGAGGAGGAGAAGGAGGCCCCTCGACCCAGGAAGGGCAGCTGGCAGATGCACGGAGCTCTGAAAAAATAGATCACCAGAGCGCTTGCCAACCTTCTGGCGAAAGCCCAGGCGCACCTCGCCCGGGAGCCGTGCCAAGGAGAAGGGAGAGACGGCAAACGAGAGGAGTCCTCGGCTCGAAGGTACCTTGCTCGTTTTGCGGCAGTGCGCCCGGGTGGGGGAGAGAGAGAAAGAGAGGGAGAGAGAGAGAGAGGGGGGAGGGGACAGGCCGTCTCAGAAGGTGGCGGGGCTTCTCAGGAGCCCTTTGGCCTTCTGAGAAGCCGCCTGCATCTTGGGAGAAGGCTTCGGAAGCTTCTGAGTCTTCTAGAAAGAACCCGCCCCCTCTGCCTTCCCCCCTGAGCTCGCCGATGCTTGCTGACGCTGGCATCCTGGAAGGCTTTGACAGCTCCACCCGAGGCCTCGCCAGCCGTCACAGGCGAGCTCCTGCACGCCCGACATGCTGCCAGAACGGAACCCAGGCGGCCACGCTTGTTCCGAGCGTGGCGCTGCTTTTCGTGGCGTGGCCTTCCGTGGTCCCCCTCTTCGGTGCGGGGGGGAATGCGAGGGGCCGATGGGCCTCCCTTCAACCGTCGAGAAAATGAAGTTCAAAGATGTTGGACTCTCCCCTCCTCCTCCTCCTCCTCCTCCTCCTCCTCCCTCCTCCTCCTCCTCCTCTCGTCCTCCTCCTCCTCCTCGTTCTCCTCTTCCTCCTCCTCCTCCTCCTCCTCCTCCTCTCCTCCAATCCTCGCTCCTCCTCCTCCTCCTCCTCCTCCTCCTCCTCCTCCTCCTCCTCCTCCTCCTCCTCCTTCCTCCTCGTCCTCCTCCTTCTCCTCCTCCTCCTCCTCCTTCTCCTCCTCGTCTGAGTGTCGCTCACCTTCAATGCCGAGTCCAAAGACAAACGCGTTCTTGGCCGCTCCGACTCTGGATGTTTCCGTTGCCTGCCAGCAAGACCCATGCGCGCACATGCGCGCATCACGGTGCCAGTTTTTGACGTTCATGTTGTGGAGTGGTGTAGGCGCTCCCATGCAGCCGCCAGCAGCTTCCCGAGAACGCACTGCGGGGCCGAAGTTCACGCGCGCAGCGGCTTGCGGAAATCGTGCGGGAGCAGTTCCGCCAGCCCTGGACAGCTCCAAGGGCCTTCGGGCCCCCACTGGGGGCTTCCAAAGAGGTAAGAAAAAGAAAATGCTTCCTGGTGGTTCATCTGGGGCTCCCCGATGGCACTCCAGGCAGCTTCCACAGACAGCTTCCAGAGGAATTCAAGGGCACTGCAGGCACGTGGTGTCTCCACGGGGCTCCGCGGAAGGCGCCAGGAGCATCCCACGAGCCTCCTAGAGCTGACAGAGAGCCGTGGGGGCAACCGGCCGTTCCTGGTCTGTGCTCCACTGCGTGTGCCCAAAGCCTTGTGTCATCTGTTCGACCATGTGTTGCGCAGTCGGCCGTTCCCAGTCGATGTTTTATAGCTGGTGCATTATGGGCTGTGCCCTGTGCGGTGCTGTCCTATGTATGACCGTGTGTTGCGCAGTCGGTCGTTCCTGGTCGGTTCTCTGTGGCCGACGCCTGGCTTTCTATGCGCTGGTGCCCCATGACTGGCCCCATGCTGCGCAGTCCGCTGCTCCTTGCCACGTGGTGATGACACAGCGGGAGGGCACTTCAGCGTCGCTAGGCGCCTGATGAAACGATCGGGCGGTCGCCCGTCCCGCTGACAGCTGCTTGACTGGGGAGGCTCGCAGACGGCAGACTTGAACCAAACATGCTGGAGCGTGTTTCTTTACTGCTTGGCGCAAAATGGGCATTATAGCCCCCGGCCCCCCCTCCCCCCCCTATAACGTAACGCCTTTCCCCCTCAGTGCGCTTCTGGCATTGCCGCCGTGCGCACGGCGGGGGGGAAGCATTACATTATACCACCCCCCTGGCCCCCGCCGAAAATAAAGAAACGCGCTCCTGCTTCTGGAGCTGGGGGTGAACGCCCGAAGATGCACAGAGTGTCGGTGGAAGCCCCAGTAAACGCTTCACTGTTTCTCGCTCGAAGCTGTGGAGTGCGTGCTGCCGGGACCGCGCATTGAAGCATAAACATAACATCGTGAGAGGTGTGCCGGCAGGGGCGGGGGAACGCTTTGCAACCGCTCCCGCTCAGGCCGGAGGTGGAACTGCCTGTGGGACACGATCCGCGGTGTGTGTATGTGTGTGTGTGCTTTCGTGCCGGAATTCGCGTGCGGTAGAGCTGGGAACAACGTGGGAGGGTTGCAGGAGGCAGCGGAGGAGAGGGAGGAGGGAGGGATAGGGCGGCTGGAGGAAGAAAGAAGCACCATCTTGGCCATCGAGAGCTCCGTCGTCGCCGCATTTGCAGGACGCGGCCCAGAAGATTTGCTCGGGCTGCGTCCGTGGAGGGGCCCTGGGAACAGATCTTCATGTGTGTTTGTCCGAGAGGCATCGTGTGGACCTTCGTGGGGGTGCGCGGGTGGGCGCGCAGGCAGCGGGCCCCTGCCGAAGTGGCAAGGGGGGTCCGAGTTGCTGGTGTCCGCCTGTCTCTTCCCGTCGGCCAGAGCTCGTGCGTGGACCTCTCCGTGAGCGCTAGATTTAAGTCAGGCCCGTCCCTCTACATGAGGAGTATTCAAGAATAACCAAGAATGGTATGGGATTTGTTTTAAGTATTTTTGTTGAGTATTTGTTGAGTATTATTAGGAGTATGTTTTCAATAGTTTTTTTTGACAATTTTGGAATATGTATTGTGCATTTTTTAATTATCGTCGAAAATCCCCCTGTACGGGGACAGGTCCGACTCAACGCTACATCCGGGGCTCGGCCAGATCCTGGCAGATCGATCGGGCTCTGGAGCAGTCGGACCCGGGATGGGTCGGACATGTCGCCGTGGATCCCCTTCTGTCGGAGGGGGCCGCTCCGCAGGCGGTGCTGGTGGCCACGGTGTCCCGCCTGGCCGCGGCCCTGGGGTCGAGGGGCCTGGCGAGCCGGCTGGACGGCATCTCGGCGCTGGCCTTCGACGACGCCGATGCGCTGCTCGCAGACGGGGGCCACTCGAGCCGTGACCTGGACCGCGTCCTCGGACTCTGTGACGGGGACGTGCAGATGCTGCTCTTCGCCACGGCCTCGGCTGCCCCCGGGTCTGTCGATCGGGGATCGTGCAGCAGACGGGCGAGTTCGCGCGATGTGCCCCTCACCGAGGTGCGGCGCCCGGTCTAATCGATCAAGGCTCTGGGCTTGAGGTTGCACTCGATCGGCCGCCCGACGCACAGGGTTTTGGGAGACGTCGTGACAGAACGCGACGGCCTGACTGACGCTAAGGGGTGAGGGAGGCAGACTCGCACGCGCACGCACTGGTTGCAGCCAGCGGCGATAACCTGCCAGGGGCATTGCTTAGAAGAACGTCTCCCGGCGCAATCTCTCGGTGTTTCTCTCGCTCTCTCTCTCTCTCTCTCTCAATCTCTCCCTATCTCTCTGTCTCTTTCTATATGTCTGTCTCTCTCTCTCTCTCACATCCTCCCCTCTCTCACCTACACACGCGACAAGACAACATAGGTCAGCCTGCAACCGAACAGCAGATGGGAGGTAAAGATGGTCTGGCACGGACAAGGTGTGCACCCAGGGGGGCGGGGAGCACTTGAGGAGCAGCCCCTGCCCTCCTTCCCTCAGTCCCCCTCCCTGCTTCCACTCCCTCCCATCCCCCCTCTTCCGTTTCAAGGCCTTGCATCTTTGCTTCGACATCTTTGCTACAGTATGCCCCCTGCATCTGAGTTTGCCCATCATTGTGTGAGCATCGTTAGGGTGTTGTTCCGCTGCTTCCTCTTTCCACACTTTCTCTCCTCCTCCTCCTCCTCCTCCTCCTCCTCCTCCTCCTCTTTCTCCCCTTTCCCTTTCTACCCCTGCAACTTTTCCCAACCCCGTTTGCTATCATGTTTCTCCTTTTTTCGTTTCCCCCCTAATCGTCATAGTTGCTGTCTTCTACCTTCTGTGTTGCTTCCCAGTGGCTTCGGGGTCGACATCCGATTTCTTACTGGTTGCTTCGGACGTTGCTCCATTGCGCGTGGCATGTACCCATGGCGTCTCCTCGTCCCACTTGGCGTCTATATTTCAAAATAGCTCAAATGTTGCAGCGTCCATTCAGGAAGATTCGATTATACATCCGACTGGGCGGATGCAACAAGTAGGGTGCAACGAAAAGAGAGAGGCGGTTGCGGCGTGATGTCAGATTTGATGTGAGCGTGCTTGGGTTGCGTCTCTCCCCTCGTCCCTATTCCTCCGCTTTCTTTCCCGCTCCTCCCCGCCTTCCGCCCACGTCTCCTATCAGATGTTGCTTCCGATCGGACAGACAGCGACCCGGCCGTGGAACCTGTAGGACAGCTGAGGCCGCAACGTCGACGGAGGCAATGACAGAGACGTTCAAGAGGCAGAGTGGTAAGGGCGCTGTGGTGCTGAGTGTCGCTCCTGGGAGCGGCCTGAGTGCGTGTCGCCATGTGGTACATCGTATAGAAGTGGTGCACGAGTTAGCGAAACAGAATTACCTTGACGAGGCTATCCTGAAGATCTCCGAGAATATCAGGCAAGGAGATCGGGTTGTCATTTTTGTGAAGGGTGCCGAGACAGTGCAGGACGTGTCCAGCACCATTTGTTCTGGTGACATACAGGTGGCCGGGTAGCGCAGGGGGTGCAGAGGAGGCAAGAACGTGTTTAGCTTTGCGTGCGCTGTGACAGAAGGCCGTCGGGAGATTTCTGCGGAGATGTACATTTGAAGTTGAGAGCACTCACGCTGCATCTCACTAACAGCCCAGACGATTTCCACCACATCCCAGACCAAGCACGAATGAACATCACGTATAGCACACGTCACTTCCAAACACTTGTCGGAATTAGTTTAAGAGCGCAGTCTTTAGACGCGACCATTTAGGAACCACGAGTGCCAACGTAAGGTTGTCCTGGTTGGCGCGAACACGCCTGATGTCAGCATTGTAGCTGATTGCTCCCCTCCCCTCCGAGGAGGAGTGGCCGGGAAGGAGAGGCATGAGGATGAATTATGAAGAGGGACCAGGTGGAGGAGCGAGAAGAGCAGCAGATGAGGACGAGGGGGAGGATGAATCTGGGATCAACGAATTTTCTTTAGATCCTATATCGAAGTGCCGTGTTGTCGCTGAGCCCTCACGACCTGTGCGGCCCGATGCCTTCGGAACGCCGAAGGCGCGACGCATTCTTATGTAGGGGCCGAGCATCGTGCTGAGAAATGTTCAAAGAATCGACCAGCTTGTACTTGAGTCGGGCAACACGAGCAGGACTTGCTGTACGGTGCGGTGCGCATCTCCCCATCGCCACCATAGCTCGCCAGAGGCAAACGAATACAGATCCCACCAGCGCTCGCCGGCCATGGAACGTCCTGTGTGTGGCATGTACTCATGCACCAGAGAGCGCGCGCACTTCTTCCACTGGGTCCGTCCAAGCTGCCCATAACTTGCGCACTTGTTCTGGGCGCTTCGCCACCAGGCAGCTTACCCATCGCAGTAGACACGGTAAAGGAAGGTGGTTGGCCAGCTTGGTTTCATGCCGACCGTTGCCTTTTTTGTTCTTTCCAGCTGATTCCAGACGTCGCGGGGCAACCTGATTTGGCTCCTCGACGTTTCGGCGTGCCTAGTGTCGTCGTCCTAGGCGCACGTCGTGTTGCAACGTGCGTTCGGCTTTCGGTCGCGATGCCGCGCGTATCCACCACCACGCTGGGACATGCGGGGGGAGCCTTTGGGGGGATCATCGGGTGGTGGTGCAGCCACAAGAGGGATCGGCATCCTGGCCAGCATTCTGACACGGACCTCTCGCCGCAGGTTGGGATGCGGATTCATGTGGGGCCATGACAGTTCGGCGGTGAAAAACGATTTGCTTTGAAGCTTGGTTGGCGTAGGATCAGCCGCATCCCATCCCCGAGCTCTAGAGCAGCACCACAGTCCGTTATAGAAGCGCCCGGTGTCTGCCTGCTCGAGCACCCCTCAGGGATCCAAAGCTTTCCACGCATGCCCTCACCCCTCGAGCACCCCTCAGTACGCGTGCCACGCTTTCGGAGGGAATTCTTGAACGTCCCGAGACGAGTGTAGCTGCACTTAACATGTCCGACGCGCACGGAGAAACGGCGTACGATTGACGAGGGCTCACAAGGGTCAGCTTGAAAGGCGACGCGCGTTGTGCGATAACATTTTCAGCCAAGATATTGAAATAAGGAGCAGCTGGGTTCCCAAGGGCACGCTTTGCAGGGAATTCCTACACGTCCCGAGACGAGTGTGGCTGCATTGAATATGCCCGACGTGCACGGAGCAACGGCGCACGATTGACGGGGGTTTACAAGGGTCAGCATGCAAGGCGACGCGCGGGGGGGCGATAACATTTTCAGCCAACATATCGAAACAAGGAGCAGCCCGGGTTCGCAAGGAGCTCGCTGTTCCTGAGGACGTTCCGCGTTCCGCGGGGTTTCCTCTGGCCCTCTTCGTGCACGCAGGCCCTGCGAGGGCCAAAAAAGGTTCCATTCCTGGCCTGGCGTTCCTTCAAATTCGTCTCCAGGGCACCCCACCGACGCCTCACTCGCCAGCGCAGTGACTCTGCCTAGACGCCGACGCAAAAAGCTTGGCGTCCCTTCTGAACGCAGCCTGACCGCACGCCTCTGCAGCACCCCCACCCGCCGCCAGGCACGCAGCTGCAGGACTGCTCTCGCTCCGGGGCGGCCGGGCGCCATCCTGCGCGGCCGGTTCCTCCGCAATGGCCGCCAGCCTCGATGGGTTCCGCGGCCAGCCGCACCAGTTGGCCCCCCCCCGCCCAGGACACCCTCGTCCGGTGTTGGTGGCGATTTCTGGATCCTGGCCTCGCCGATCGACGGCTCAGGCAACTCGATGGGCGACGGGGATAGGGTGCGGAATTCGTCGAGCACGCGGCGAACTCCGAACCCTACCCCCGCCGCCTCCCATCGATGCAAAGAATCCGTGGCTGGTGGTGGTAGGGTTCGAATGTCGCCACCTACAGTGGCAGCCACGCCTGGCGCCAAGCGTGTGCGGCCGCGTAGGTCGTGGCCTTCACGCGCCGTGCTGTCGTGCACGGCCCGCTGCGGCCCGCCCCCGCTCCAAGGATGCCACGGCCGTCTCTTGAACCCATCCGCCACGAGCACCACCTGGGCAATCGGGTTGGCCGCAGCCGGGTACAGTGGAGACCCATGCCAAGAAGCACCCTGCTCGCCTCCAGGGTGCCCCTGGGTTTATTTGGGTTTCGATGGTTTTGCCATGGAGAGCGTGACGTGCCCACACCAAAAATCCATGGACGCCCCGGGGTCTCAGGGTTTGGGCTTCTCGTGGAAGGCTTCTTGTGTACTGGCCCCCGGCGGCCTCCACTGTAGCGTGGTCGAGGGACGGCTGGTTCATCGCCTCTCTGCGGGGGACGTGTGCGGCCGTCGGTGCTTCCTGTGCCCATGGGCCCCGTGGGCCTGGTCTCATGGCCCCCGCCGCCGCTGCCACGTGTAGGTTGGGAAGGAGGAGGAGGAGGAGGAGGAGGAGGAGGAGGAGGAGGAGGATCAAGCAGTTGCGAAGCGTCCTGGCCGTCCTATAGGCCCACCAAAGAATGGTCTAAGAACCCTTGTGGTCTGCACGACATGTTCTTTGAACATTTCTGGCTGGGGCTGTCTTGTTTTAAATCATGTTCAAGGACAACTGTTTTTGCTCTTCGAATACTTGTGGGTTCTAAGAACATGTCGTGGTAGGTCTATAGGAATGCCGGGACGGGCGGTCCATGCTCAAGAGGAGGAGGACCAGGTTGAATCTAAGACGCATCACCCATATGGTACATAACTTTCCCTCCATGCTCCCTTTTCACAGGCCCCTACAAGGCTTCATTTTCATTGAGGGGAGTGCCCCGTTGGAAGACAAATGCTTGCAAGTCGGGAATTGCGCCAGACCGCCACTCCTGGGACTTCGACGCCACGATTCACCGGTACTGTTGCGTCTTGACGATCCTGACTCGTGCCAGAACGCTATTCCTGAGACGTCGAAGCCCGGATCCACGTGACCGTGGCGCCCTGACGTTCCAACCTCGTGCCAGAAGCATCGTTTCTGGGGCGTCAGCCATGACGACCTTCCATTCCCTGATGGTCCGCTACCGAAAATTTCCGGTAGCGCTCGGCAGAGATCGGTCGCTACCGAAATACCGAAATGTAGCGCCCAATACCGGTATCAGAGCGTTCTGAAATCCGCTATTTCAACGCCCTCAAACGAAGATCCGGTCGCTACCGAAATTCGGGGTGCGTCGAAATCGCTACCGAAAATTTCCGGTACCAGACCATCTGGGTTCTCGAGGTATCCTCGCCCGATGCTCTCCTCGTCCTGGCCTCGTCTCCGGGAGGGGCCCGGCGGCGCCCGCAGGTGGCCGCCGTGCACGGCCGCTTGGGGCCCGAGGAGCGGCGCGCGGCGCTGGAGGACTTCCGAGCGGGCAGCCGGCGCGTGCTGGTGGCGGACGCGGGCGGCGCCCCGGGGGCTGCCCTCCTTCGGGGGAGCGTAAGACCCGGGTTTGCCAGGACTCGGGTTCGCCATCGTTTTTTGACGACCGCGCCTCGGATTTTGACGAGGAGGAGTTTCGTGGGATGTCTGCAGCGGGAGGCCTCGTCAAAATGCAGGCTCGGCCTCGTCATTTTTTTGACGACCTCGTCGGGGATTTCCGAGTCCCCCGTACCCGGGTCTTACGTCTCCCCGATTCCTCTTTCAAGCAGTGGCGAAGCGTCCTGGCGTGCCTTCAGTCCTACCAAACAGTGTTCTAAGAACCTTTCCTGGGTTCTCAGAACAGTTCTGGCGGAGTCTGTCTTGTTTTATCACCTCGGGCTGATGTTCTAAGAACACGGTTCTTGTTCTTAGAACGTTTCAGGGTTCTCAGAACATGTCGTGGCAGGACTATAGGAATGCCGGGACGGTCGGTCCCTGCTCGGGAGGCGAAGAAGCGCACAGACAAACAGAAGCGTCGATTCCCAGGATGACACGGGAAATAGCTCGTAGAGCTCCTGGTTCGACCAGAGCTGGAGGACTTTCGGGCGCGGGGTGGAGCTGGTTGGCAGACCTGGCAAGGAGAGGCAGTGTGATGACTTGGGGTCGAGTCTTGAGTGATCGTGAGAGATTTGAAAGTTCGTTTTGAGAATTGGTGTTTGTCACATGCGCAGTAAATCACGAGCCGTTCCTCTGTCTCAGTCGCAGTCTCATGACTGAGAAGGCGGGAGTTTACGACATCTGCTACATGCAGCTGGTCTCGGCCCCGCCCCCGGGCGCCTTCTTCGATACATTGGCGCCGTTAGGCGCCGGAAAAAACAGCTAATTGCGTGAGCTGCTTCGCCAATCTTCCCATTGCTATCCTTCTTACCCCCCCTGTTGACGAACGAACAACACACACCCGTACCCATAGGCCCATAGGTACAGGTGTGGATATGGGTGCGGGTTGTCGGGTCCCCGGGCAGGCTCCCGTTCGAGCAAGGAGCCCCATCCGACAACACGCACCCATGGCCCCCTCCGTCCCCCCGGTGGGTCTGTATTGTCTGTGTGTTGTTCGCGTGTGACCTGTCTTTCGTTCAGCTCAGCTTTGTCATCCAGGCAGTGCCAGGGGGTGGTCAGGGACTGGCGACCACCACTTGGTGGCACCCTGTGCTGAGCCTCAGATGGTGTTACTCAGTGCTGTTATTATTCGAAGTGTCCTTCCTACCCGATCATCCTCATCATCCACCTCTTCCACCTCCTCCTCCTTCCACTCCTCCTCCTCCTCCTCCTCTTCCTCCTCCTCCTCCTCCTCCTCACCATCATCATTCGCATCATCGGCACCAGCATCATCGTCATCATCATCATCAGCACCACCATCACCATCATCATCATCATCATCATCATCATCATCATCATCATCATCATCATCATTATCATCATCAGCATCATCATCAGCATCACAATTTCCATATTCACCACCAGCATCATCATCATCGCCGTTATCAGCATCATCATAGTCATCAGCATCATCGTCGTCACCACCATCGTCCTCATCCTCACCATCACCACCACCCTCAGCATCACCACCATCATCATCCTCATCTTTAGCATCATCGTCATCATCATTATCACTGCCATCATCGTCATCATCATCACCATCATCATTACCATCATCGTCACCATCAGCATCAGCATCAGCATCATCTTAACCGTCGTCGTCATCATCACTATCATCATCATCGTCGTCGTCATCATTGTCATCATCAATCTCAGCAGCAGTACCATCATCCGCCCGTGCCGCTACAGCGTAGAAGGCTCTCGCAGGCGCCTTTTCCACGAGCACTGCGTCGGTCGGGCATCGAGGCGTCGGGGCTGTTTCGGGGCCATCTCTTGGGCTCCCCCCGGGGCTTCCAGAGGCTCTCGGCGGGGAAGCTGGCCCTGGACCCCAGGGCCTTCCCCGGGACCAGCGGAGGGCCCCAGAGCGGGTTCCGAGCGCGGCGACGAAGCCGTGCCCAGGACCCCGTTCCGCCAGGACCCGTGTCGTTCCCGGTGCACGGCAAGAGAAACGCGCCGAGGTCGGCCAGAGCCGGGGCCCCGGTGAGGCCTCGAAAGTCCTCGTGAGTCCCCCCCCTTCGCCTCCGCAAGCAGCCAGCGCCGTCGTGGGGCATGAAGTCCGAGTCCTGCCGCGACCGTGTTGGAGGTTGGTCGGGCAGTTTTGCCCCCAGGCCGTCCGCGCTTAAATATCGCAGTTCGTGTTCGTGTCGTGCGCGGCGTGCGTGGAAATCGTGCGCGAGCTCCACGGGTGGCCATGGTAGGTGGCGGACTGCTCCTCAGAGCTCTGTCGGGGGACCCTTTCGTGGCCAAGGCCCGCCGTGGCCAGAAAAAAAAACTACAATTCGTTCGTCCCCCCAGCGCCCCCTGTGAGAGCACGACGGCTGCAGTTTTGGAAGAGTGCCCCTCTGATCCCGTCGGTCCTTCGTGCTCGGGCTGTCGACCTCGGAGCGTGCTTCGCTTGGGGTTGTCTCCATGGGTCCCAGCGCCCTCGGCGAACGGGCTCGTCGTGGCCACGACTCCACCGCAGCCCACGCCTGCCGTCGAATCCCCCCTGGGCGACACGTGGACTGCGTGCACACCCCAGTCTTCCTGCCCTCGATCTCCCCATCGGCTGCATGCCCGGCGATCAGGAATTCACAGGTACAAGGCTCTCACCACTCGGTCTTCCCACCGTCGCTCCCAGTGGCAGTGTTGCAGGTTTCTGACCCTTCCAGCCGTGGCAGGGACCGCACCTGTGACAGGGCCACTCGGCTGTACTGGTACCAGTTCGGATACGTAGAAGAGCGACGTAGTCAAACTGCACCGTCAGGGCGAGTTCTTTCCCAATGGTACCTCTGCATCGTTGCCTCTCGGCATCCGCATGATCTGGTCGCACCGCATGCGACATGGTCGCCTGGGTCCAGGGCGCCTCAGGAGGGTCCAAGTCAGTCCAAGAGACGGGCCAAATGCGGTCCCAGATGGCCATAAGACGGGCCAGCGGGCTCCCTCGAAGGCACCAGGGGGTCCGAACAGGACCCCCAAGATGCACCAAGGGCGAATATGTTATATGATTTCGGCGAACCTGCTCGGTCTTCCGAGCCTCCAATGCGGCCCACGAGGCCCCGAAGTTGCCCCAAGCTCGCCCCAAGATGGCCCAAACGGCGCCCGAGAGGGGTCCAGCACGATCGAAGAGGGGCACAAGATAGCCCAAGAGGGCCCCGAGACGCCCCAAGAGGGCTCCCAGAGGGGCTCCAGACTTCCTACCACAGCCGCCATGCCTCCCACCAGGGCCTCCAGACTGCCACGCGACAGCCTCAAGACACCTCCATGACAAGACGGTCCACAGGGGAGGGCCCCAAGGCGATCGAAAGAGCGCTTTCTGCCGCTGCTGGCAGGGGTGGAGGGCCCCCCCCCCCCTCCTCTTCAAAGCCAAGGAGAGGGTGGAGGTCCGAGCGCCCCCTCCCACCGGGGAAAATGATGCGGGGCTGGTGCAGGACCCCCCCCACGCCCGGAAATCCTATTATTCGGGGGGTCCAGGTGCACCCCCCCCCCACCTGGAAACGACGACGACGACGCCGACGCCGACGTCGACGCTGAGGCCGACTCCCGACGACGATGACGACGACGACGCCGCCGACGACGACGACGACGAGCAGAGTAGAGTAGAGTAGAGTAGAGTAGGGCGGGAAACCGGGATACGGTAGGGTAGAGTAGAGTAGAGTAGAGCAGAATGGGGAGAGTCAGGTCAGATTTGAGTAGATTCGAATCGAGTGGAAAACCGTAGATGAATAGAGTCGAGCAAAAATGGAGTAGAGCTGAGCTGAGCTGAACAGAGTAGATTCGATTAGACTTGGAGTAGAAGAAATTAGAGTTACAGTAGACTCGAGTAGAGTAGAACATAACCAATCATATGATCAGGAAAGTTTTGATTTGAGAAGTCTGGGCCAGCTTCCTAGAGGTTTCTTAAAACAAACCTGGACACATTTCCCCCACACACACAACGGAAGGGCGAACGTGTTCAAAAAAAACTGGGCCAGCTTTCCAGCGAGTTGGTCAAGAAATGCTGGCCCAGCTTGTCGGGAGGGTAGATGTAGTGTATGGCAGAGTAGGGTAGAGGAGAGTAGAGTACAGTAGGGTCGAGTAGAGTAGGGCAGGGTGCAATAGGGCCCTAGTAGGATTCTTCTGAGAGGCCTGGAGCGAGTCCTAGTAGCATTCTATCAGAGCCAGCGCCTAGGGCGGGCACAGGCGACAGGTGCGCCGCCGCCCCCCCCACCCACCCGGGAAAATGATTTGGCGGGGTCCAACGCCCCCCTCCCGCCGCCCAGAAAACGATTCGGAGTGTCCAGAGACCCCCCCCCCCGGCAGCGACGACGACGACGACGCCGGCGCCGACGCCAACGACGACGACGACGACGACGACGACGACGACTCCGCCGACGACGCCGACGACGAAGACGACAACGACGACGAAGACGCAGACGACGAAGACGACGACGACGAGTAGAGTAGCGTAGAGTAGAGTAGAGTTGGGGAGAAGTAGAGTAGAGTAGGCTAGAGTAGAGTCTAGTAGAGCAAGGCTGGACTCGGAAGGGTACAGTAGCAAAGCAGGCTGGGGTAGAGTAGGGTATGGAGATGTAGATCATGTTGAAATAGAGCAGAGTAGAGAAGAGTAGAGAGCAGTGGATGAGTAGAGCACAGCAGAAAACATAGCGGAGTAGAGTAGAGGTGACCTGAGAAGGATGGAATAGAGTAGGAGTATGGACTACAGCAGGAACGAAGTAGAGAAGAGTAGAGCATGCTAGGGTACAGTAGGCTACAGTAGCGTAGGGTAGAGTAGGGTAGATTACATTCAAGGGCCCGAGTGGGATTCCGAGCGACTTGGAACGAGTTCAATCAGCATTCTATCAGAGACGGCGCTTGGCGCAGGCGCCGGCGGCAGGTGCGCCGTCGCCGGCGTTGACATTGTCGGCGTCGTCGGCGTCGTCGTAGGCGTCGTCGTCGTCGTCGTCGTCGTCGTCGTCGTCGTCGTCGTCGTCGTCGTCGTCGTCGTCGTCGGCTGGTTTCAGACACCCCCTTGGAATTTTTTTCAAGCCAGCGACGGTGGGTCGCTCCCCCTCAGACGACCCAACACGCCGCCCAGACGGCGACGGGCCCTATCGGGCGGTGTGGGGTCTTTCGTCGGCTGTTTGGGGCTGGTCGGGGGGCCCTCTTGGAACGTTTATAAGCTCTCGTTTGCTTTCTTGGGCCCTTCTTGCATCTTATTTAGCCCTTCGTGTGCCTCTCTTGAGACATCTTGGTCGCCTGTTGGGCCATGTTGGGGCGAGTTTGGGGGTCTCGTGGGCCGTCTTGGAGGCAAGGCGTGCGGGCCCAAATCGTAAAGCAATTTTGCTGTGATTGGTGCTTGTCGGGGGCCTCTTGGGGGGCCCCTTCGGACCCCCTTGGACGGTCGGGGGACGTATTGGGCCGTCTTGTGGCCATCCCGGGCCGCCTTTGGCCCGTCCTTGTTGTCTTCGGGGCCTCTTGGGCCCGCCCGGGGCGCTCCTGACTGAGGCACCATAGCACGTGCGCATACTGCGGTGGAGCAGAATTATGTGCAATGGGAGCGTCCAGATGTTGCATTGCCATTTGTATATGCGTATATATACACATCCATACATACGTACATATGATCACTCTAATCCCTCTGGCCCCTAAGCCTGCGGCAGGCTACTGGGACCCTTACCGGTTGCCGCAGTGCACGGGACTTTGAACGCGTTTATGACGAGGGGGCTGGGCTCGAGAGGGTCACACGGGCATATGTGATGTGTGCTGGGTTCCCTCCAACGTCGTCAGGAGCCTTCCAGGGTGGAGGGGTCAAGCCCAAATCGGCTCGGTGGCCCCG